AAGGTTTTTCGCTACTTCCCACATTATTGGAACGTCTGTCGGCTCCTCGTTCTTGTCGCCCTGTTGGGCTACTTGTCGCCCGGTTGGGCTACTTGTCGCCCGGTTGGGCTACTTGTCGCCCGGTTGGGCTACTTGTCGCCCGGTTGGGCTACTTGTCGCCCGGTTGGGCTACTTGTCGCCCGGTTGGGCTACTTGTCGCCCGGTTGGGCTACTTGTCGCCCGGTTGGGCTACTTGTCGCCCGGTTGGGCTACTTGTCGCCTGGTTGGGCTACTTGTCGCCCGGTTGGGTTCCTTTTTGAGCTCTTTGCTTCTTTGGCCGGTTTTATTGTTCCTGCTTCCTCTTTTGGCTACTTTTCTCGTGCAGTAGTCCTGGCTGGCGCCTTCCCGCAGAGAGGGTGTGCGGTTCGGCCAGCGTGTTATGCGCATGCGCCGTGGAGTTTGTTTTGGTCTGGGCGGTGTTTCAGTGCTGGTGTTTTGCGCCCTTTTTGCTACAGTGCTTCGCCTCTCGTTCTTCTCCCTGGCTGCGGTATGTGCCCCTTTGCGCCGGGGGTGTCCTGGTTCCCAGTTGTGGGGAGGACACCGCGGTTTTCCCTGTCATGGGTGTGGACCGCCTCCTTCGCCTCTCCCTGCTCTCCTGCGGGTCCGGCAGGGTCCGGCTCTGGCGTCTTCACCTGGCGGTGCTCCCAGGTTCTTCTGGGCACAGTTGAGTCGTGTCAAGTTCGTGCCACCATTCGCCAGGTGAGTTTCTGCGGTCTGGCGTCTTTTGGCCGGGCGATGGATGCGGAGTTGTTTATATACCTGTCTTTATTTAGGTATATTTTTGTACAACTGAGACCGTTCGCACACCAGTGATTGTCCCTTTTCAACCCTTCCTGTCCCCCTCATGTGCATGTCCAACCCATGCTGGAGTCATTCAGGGGACCCTCCTTTTTTAATGTTGTGAGGTGTGGGGGTTGTAGGGTTGGTTCTGTACTCACCTGGTAAGGCTCCTGGCTGTGCTTGCAGGATTTGAGCTCTGGCTCTTGGGTCCCGCCTATCTGGTAGAACTTGCGGGATAGACGTTTCGGTCCGTCCTGGACCATTCTCAAGTCGATTGAGATAGTACCAGTGGAGTGCAGTGGTGCTATTGGCACAATTGGGGAACACTGTATTACCATCAGAGGTCTGTGCTTGTTACACGACCTACTTGCGAGCATAAGCCTTCTTGCTGGTTCGTCCGTGGACTTCCAGGGCGCACTAGCCTGTTTTCGTATTGGCAGTTCCGGCTCGTCCTGGTTGTGGGGGTATGTGGGCCAGTGGACTGCTCCTAGCAGCTGCCTGGTGGGCCACCCTCTGGCCGGTCTAGCCTGGCCTTGGGCCGGGCTTGAGGTGTAACAGAGCTCCCAGTCCCTCATCCAGCAGGTATCGAGCGGGGTTTCTCCGCCGTCGGTCGCCTGGTGCAGGTTTCTGGGCCTGCGGGGTTTTGTCGTGTCTCGGTTGGCCCTGTCTGGGGTCTGCCTGCTCCGTTCTCTGCCTTTGCAGAAGGGAGTTGCTATTTACATGTTTCATGTTGCAGTGGTGCCTTTTGCTGCTGCTGCACGTGTGCATTGGTACCGTGTTTTACGGTGGCGTGTCCTTGTTCCTGTGTCCGGTTGTGAAGTGGCACTTTGCTCCCGTTTTGTGCCTGGGGATTGCGTGGGGGTTTTTCTGTCCCTGCCTGATTGTCCACCCCTGGTTGTTATCCTGGGATTTTTGTGCTTCTGCTCTTTCTTCCTGCCTCTTCTGCAGCAGGGGTGTTCTGCGTGTGTTCTTAGGCGTTTGTCAGCCTGTGTCCTGTGATGTGCTTCTTTGTCTCGGTCTATTGCAGTTGTTCGTACCCCTTGGTTCGGGTACTGTTCTGGCGGCGACCCTTCCGCCTTCTTTGGTTTCCTAGCTTGCCCTGCCGGTTGGGTTTTTTTTTGGGGTCTTGCGATGTCTCGCGTCGACCCGTCGTTTCTTAACTCCTGGCGGGCTTGCATGCTTTGGGGAGTTTTTCTGTTCGGCAGACGTTCCATCTCCTTGTGCCGCCTGGGTTTCGGTGGTCGCGCCCGAGATCTTCCCGCGGCTCCGCCTTTTCCTGGGCTCGGAGGGGCCTTGTCGGGGCTGCTTATGTTCTGCCTCGCGGTCTCGCCTCCGGTTGGTGGTCAGGTGGCTTCGTGGTAGGTGTCCCACCTGTGTGCTTCTCTTGGCGGCAGTATGGGGTATTTTGGCGGTCCTTCCTTTTCCTGTCCCTTCTTAGGTGGTTACTCTTGTTAGCTTGGTTTACTCTCGGCTTGGTTTTCTGGTGGGGGTTGGGGGCCGTCGTCTTGCCACATACTGTCGCCTCTTTTCGTGCGGCGCGGGCGGAGCCGCTTCAGCTTGCTTTCGGTCTTGGTGTTGCTTCTGCACCGTTAGTCAGCTGTCTTGTGCGTCGTTTCACCTCCGGCCTGTTAGTGCGCCGCTTGCACCATCCTGGTCTCTGGTCAGCGTGCTCTGTCTTCTCCTCGGTTGGTAGTGCCCCTTCGGTTCCGGTGTGTTTTTTCGTCGGCTGTTTCCTTTTGGCCTTTGCCTCTGGGGGTCGAGTCGCTGAGTTTTCTTGCTCCTTCGGTTTTAGCGTTTTGGTTGTTCGGTGGCAGCAGTCTCCATCTTTTCTGGCGCGGGGTGGGGCTGCTGCGTTCTGGAGGGGTCCAGGGTTTGTTGGTGCTTCGTTGGTCGGGCCGGGGGGGGTGTCGTTTTTTGTGTTCAGTGGCGGCCCTCCGCTGTTGTTTGCGTGCCACGGCGTTTGGGTACGGAGCGTGTTTTGTGTTGATCCGGTTCTGTTCTTCCCGGTTCGCGGGTGATAGTGTCCCGGGTGGTCAGCCGTGTTCTTGCGGCTAAGCTGCCTGTGTTCTTCCCTCATGCCTGTGGCGTTCGTGGCTTCACTGCTCTCGCTGCTGTCTGGGCGACGTGGCCTTGCGGTCTTTTGGGCATGGATTTTTGGTGTTCGTGCAGGGGCCTTGCTGCTCGTTGTTCTCGTGTTGTTCCCGGGGCTTTTCGGGGCTGTGGCGCCTTGGGTTGGCGTTTGCTGCCGGTTGTCTCGTCTCCTTGGGGGGTGAGTGGTGTCCGCCTCCCGGTTCTGTCCCTTTGACCTTCCTCTGTGGGTAGTTAGCTCCGGGGAGCCGACGGGGCTCCCCCCAGAAAACCAGCGTTGAATGTAATGAAACGCCATTTTCTGGGTGAGACCCGGAGGCTCCCCGGCAACCCTCCCTCCCTCCGGTCGGCGTTTTTTTCGCGTGTTCTGACATCCAGCCTCAGAACTGATGGGTGGATAGCCGGCGTGGGAGGTCTGGGGCTCCCCCTTCCCCCTCCCGGGGAGGGGAGAGCTGTGTAGACAGCGGCGCGGTGACATATGACGTCATACTAGTTTCCTTGTTTTCTGTTGAAGAGTTCTATCCACTAGTTCAGCTTTAGGTAGCAATTTTCACCAGAATAGGGGTTTGTTTTGGAATGCTTACCTTTCTGGATGCTTGACCCGGTCGATGACAGACAGAATGCTTCCAACCACACGGGGGTTTCTATAGGCCATTGCTCCCCTTGCCTCTCTGAGGGGGCCAGGTTCTGGCCGTGGTCCCCGGTAGGCCCTAGAACTCCATACACATGACTGATGCCAAAGTCTGACATTAGCATATCAGCCGGTAAAGCTCCGGGGAGCCTCCGGGTCTCACCCAGAAAATGGCGTTTCATTACATTCAACGCTGGTTTTTTAGGTCCAGATAGATGCAATCAACCCAACCATCTCTTTCCTGTAATATCTCTGTGGCTCAATCATAGAAACTGAGTAAATTCGATACACAGGATCTTCCAGATCGAAAACCATACTGTCTGTCTGATATTATATCATTTCTCTCCAGGTGTTCTACCCATTTAGTTTTGATTAGTTTTTCCAATACTTTCACTATTACACTTGTCAATGATACAGGTCTATAATTGAGGGGGTCTTCCCTGCTGCCACTTTTGTAGATTGGAACTATGTTAGCCTGTTTCCACACGTCTGCTGCGATTCCTGTACACAGGGATGCCTGAAAGATCAGGTGAAGTGGAATACTGAGCTCAGATGCACATTCTCTCAGAACCCATGGTGAAACGCCATCTGGGCCAGCTGCTTTGTTCTTACCGAGCTCCTTTAGCATATTTTCCACTTCATCTCTAGACACCTCTATCCGCTCTGTTGTTCTCTGGAAGTCTTATTGTGTCTGGTTCTCTGAAGATTTCATTTTGTACAAACACACTTTGGAACTTTTCATTTAATGTTTCACACATTTCCTTTTCATTTTCCGTGAATCTGTTTCCCATTTTCAACCTCTGGATATTATCCTTTACCTGCAATTTGTTGTTTATGAATTTGTGTGTGTGTGTGTGTGTGTTTACTAGTTGTGTTTTTGCGGGGGTTGAGCTTTGCTCTTTCGGCCCGCCTCTCAACTGTCAATCAACTGTTTACTAACTACTTTTTTTTTTTTTTTTTTTTTTTTTTTTTTTTTCCCAAACCACACACACACACACACCCCAGGAAGCAGCCCGTGACAGCTGACTAACTCCCAGGTACCTATTTACTGCTAGGTAACAGGGGCACTTAGGGTGAAAGAAACTTTGCCCATTTGTTTCTGCCTCGTGCGGGAATCGAACCCGCGCCACAGAATTACGAGTCCTGCGCGCTATCCACCAGGCTACGAGGCCCACATGTGTGTGTATGTGTGTGTGTGTGTGTGTGTGTGTGTGTGTGTGTGTGTGTGTGGGTGGGTGTGTGTGTGTGTGGGTGGGTGGGTGGGGGGGGTGGGGGGGGGGAGATGCCTTGTATGGGCCAATAGGTCTTCTGCAGTTTCCACGATTCTTTTGTTCTTGCTTCCTTCCAAGATAAAAAATAAATTTAAATGACCATTGCCAAGTCTCCTTAAATATTGATTGGTGGTGGCATTTTATGTATGTTGGGTCATGTTCCTGTGTGAATGACTTAAAATTCCCTTCAGATTGCCCTTGCTATGTGGGAGTTACGCAGACAAAATAAGACTCGCTGGCCGTGCATAAACATCACCCATTTGTTCACTGTTGAAATGATTCTTCTTGTGACGAGACTAGTAAGTATGTTAAAAAGCTTTACATATGAATTATTATATTTTATTTAATAAAATTAAGTAAATTTAAAACCATTGTTTTAGTGATATTAGGTGTGATTAAAAATTAAGAATATATTTACTGTGTTGGTTTTGTTTATATAATTTGGCATACTAAAGTACTCTAAATGGTAATATCTGAATGAATTTTTGGTATTTTGTAATTAATACCTCAAATAACACTGCAATACTGTACTTCATTGAGTGCTCCTATACCCAGTCCAGTGCCCTTCCTGTTATTTACCTGATTTACCCAAGGGTCGCTAACCCTAGTGGCCTTGACGAGGGCAGGAAGCCTGTGGCTTGTCGAAGGTTTTCCCCATTTGCCTTGATGCCCGCTTGTCTCTCCATCTTGCATATCGATCTTTGTGGGGAATAGTGTCAATCTTTTTCAGTCTAGGAAGATGCAGTCTAACCATCCTTTTTTTCTCCCGTCTTATTTTGGTTATCCTGTCTTGGAATCTAATCACGTTTAAGCACAATTTTCCCTCTCCGGAGCAGTGCTGTGCCTCTTATAAAATTTATAATCCCCAAATGTTCTGCAGTCCATTTTTTAATGACTCTTTCTAGAATATTACATGGAATATATTAATGATACGAGTGTATAGTTCAGCACTTTGTACTCTTGGTGTGTGCTGTGGTGGCAGATTAGGACTTGAGCTGGGAACAGTGTCACCTGTGTTGGATTCATTGACACCCATGCCCTGTATATAGTCTTTCACTGTCAGGGTCTTCTAGTTACTATCATCGTTAAGCTCTTGCAATTTTTGTAGAATGTAGTGATGTTCTTGGTGTGAACTCTTGGTGCGAACTCTTGGTGCAAGTAGACGGTCCAAGGGACAAAGTTTGCTGGCATACGAGCCTCCTGTACCTACCTACCTACCTAACCAACCTAACCTATCCAAACATAACTTAATATAACCTCTAGGCAACAATATATCTTGAATAATTTGTGCATCTTGAATAAGTCGCTCTACAACATTGTTGCTTGGATCGTCAACTTCTTATGGTCTCTCATGCCACTTAGTTTCGTCTAATTTCGTTATAAATTTATATTATTTCAGAGTAAAAAATTGTTCATGTTCTACATACACCGACAATATAGTGAGTAAATATATCATGTTGACCAAACCACACACTAGAAAGTGAAGGGACGATGACGTTTCGGTTCGTCCTGGACCATTCTCAAGTTAATTATGACACAGTCGACTTGAGAATGGTCCAGGACGGACCGAAACGTCGTCGTCCCTTCACTTCCTAGTGTGTGGTTTGGTTAACGTATTTCAGCCATGTTATTGTGACTCCTCATCTGTAAATATATCATATTACTTCATTACTTTTGTAATGCTAGGAAGCTTTGAGTAAATTTGGGTAGCTTTGGGTAATTAGACGAACCAGGTTTAGAGGTATTCCATTGGCCTGGGAAGTGTTAGTGTTTCCGAGGACTTGGTTGCAGGCAGATGCTCATGGCCGAGCTCCAGGATTATATTGTAATTCTTTGATTGTGAAGTGAGCCAATACTGTAAAGTCATAGGCCTTGTCATGGCAGAGAGGAGCTTAGTCTACCTCTGGAAGGTGTAACTTGTCATTTCTCCAAAATGACTATTTTTTGGACTCAAAAGTGAATAGTACCAAATTCTACTGTCTAATTGGCCATCACGTCTATATATGGACGGTGGTCCACATAGTTTCAGAAAGTTCTAACTAGACAGGATGGAGAATGTGTTGGAGAAAGCCTACTATTTCAGGAGACATTTCATTTGAGCAGTGCAGGGAATGATTTGGTTCTCCAGTGACATGTGCTACTGCACTGTGTAACACATTTGCCAGACAGTTCCAGTGAATTATTAGCAATGATGGTAGTGTTCTAGGAGCCACTGGTTACCAGCAATGAGTGCATAGCAGTGATCTATGGGAAAAAAGAGCCATTCAGTGCTGTAATGGCAAAGCACAGCAAGGGGCCCGAGGTTCTCATTACGTCACTAGCACACCTGCAGCCACTAGCAGGTATTCTGGATTTATGCAAAGCCTTCAATGTATGACCATGTCAATGAGGAAGGAAGCAGCTGCAGTTTGCCTGTGCACCTGTGATAATGCGCCACAGCATAAAGAGCACAACTAAAAACAGGTTTGTGCTAGGACCTTGATGTGTTGATAAATAACATTCTGCCCTCCCCTCCCTCCCTTCCTCTTTGAGGTCGTATTGTTCTGAGAAATAATTTAGAATTTGTGCAGTTTGAGGGACCATTGACTTTAGGGATTATTTTGCCTATGTTTGTTGTTGCATTATTTCAGAGAAATCTAGTACCATTCATGGATTTGTGGTTTAATATACACGCCATGTTGAAGTAAATGGCATTAATGTTTTGCACTTTGAGTTTTGTCCTTATTGTGACTCAAGAAGTGATTGTGAAATAATGTGAAGATTCAAATCTAGTGAGTCGGTTGGCTATGAATTTTTAAATTTCCAATTAGGAGGCTAGTAACAAATTTTTCCTTTTTAATTAAATTTCATTTCATGTAAGCTATATTTGTTACTTCTGTATTGTTCATACATGTATTCTGTTCATGTATTGATCCTGCAGAAGCAGGTATTTGTTTTACACTGGTGACACGCTTGCCCTTCAAGAAGACCTGGACAAAATTAGTATATGGAGCACCACTTGGCAAATGGAATTAAATGTGAATAAATGCCATGTTATGGAATGTGGAATAGGAGAACATAGAACCCCCACACAACCTATAAATTATGTGAGAATCTTAAAAAATTCTGATAGAGAGATCTGGGGGTGGTTCTAGATAGTTTTCTATCGCCTGAGGACCACATAAAGAACGTTGTGCGAGGAGTCTATGCCACGCTTTCTAACTTCAGAATTGCTTTTAAATATATGGATGGCGAAATACTAAAGACATTGTTCACGACTTTTGTTAGGCCAAAGCTAGAATATGCAGCAGTTGTGTGGTGCCCATATCGTAAGAAGCAGATCAACAAACTGGAAAAGGTGCAGAGACATGCTACTAAGTGGCTCCCAGAACTGAAGGGCAAGAGCTACGAGGAGAGGTTAGAGGCATTAAATATGCCAAAACTAGAAGAAAAAGGTGATATGATCACTACATACAAAATAGTAACAGGAATTGATAAAATTGATAGGAAAGATTTCCCGAGACCTGGAACTTCAAGAACACGAGGTCATAGATTTAAACTAATTAAACAAAGATGTCTAAGAAACATAAGAAAATTCACTTTCACAAATAGTGGTAGATGGTTGGAACACGTTAGGTGAGAAGTTGGAGGCCAAAACAGTCAGTAGTTTCAAAGCGTTATATGACAGAGTGCTGGGTAGATGGGACACCACGAGCGTAGCTATCATCCTGTAACTACTTGAGGGAGAGGCTAGGTTAGAATATATATATCAACAGATGCTGTGAGGCACGGACCAGTTCTGGGGTTGTCACACTAGACAATTGGCTTTTGTTTAGAGCAGTTGTCAGATCCTGCAGTGCCACTGCCAGCTTAGTGCTATGGTCGAAGTGCTGGACTAATCTTGTGAGAATTTAAAGGGCATCCTAGCCTCCCATTTACATTTTGTGGAGGCACAAGGTGTGACTGAAGTAAGTTTGTAGATAGAGGTTTGTAATTGGTGCTTCCCAATCTACTAGTCCATCTAGAATGAGATTCATGAATTTGTTGGTCTGAATGACTTTCTCTTCATCTGTTGTCCACTTTCTTTTGTGATCATTAAGTACGTCTTGTTTGTAATTTAGTTCCTTTGGTGTCCATATTATTTGGAAGTCTGGTTTCAGATATGTGGTAAAATTTCCACATGTCGACTATTAAGTATTAACTGTTTAGCCCTTGGAAAATACAAATTCATTCTGTATATTCTTGTCTATTTTAGCCTGACAATGCAACAATATTTGGCATTTTCTGATATAATACATCATCTGTCTAGTATTTTTAATTTATTCCATCTCTAGCATAATTGTACTGTATAATACTGTATTTAACAAATTCTTGAACTTTGGTGTACACATGTGCATGTTTTAATAATATTGTACAGTTTAACATAAAGACAAGTATAATATATAAATCAACCCTTCCAGACACAAGTGAATTTAAGTTTAATGTTGTATAATTTGTATAATGCATTGTATTGTAGTGAAATATTTTTCTTTTTCAGACACTGGGAATATCTATCATCACCTTTTTCAACCACTCTCAAATTATCTCGGGATTTTGGGAGGGCGACATGTGGGATTCACCACGTGTGCGCAATCCTGAATACTATGCACTACCGTGTATTATTGCTGCTCTGTATGGTGTGATAGTTAGTGGTGAAGGCATTGGTTCCCAGTTATTGGGTAAAGTGCACAACCGATTGGTAAGTTAAATATTTTATTGTCGTATCAGGTATTTAGTTATTGGTCACTGTAACTCTAAATTAACACAGCCAACAAAATTCACCTTAGCCATGTTTGTTAGGATCAATGATGACTTGAGACTTAACCAGGAGTCGTGAATTGAAGGGTTACACAACTATCCACAACTGGAACTGAATCTGTTCCACTGCCACCCAATGTTACAAAGTGGATATGTGAATGTTAAGCAAAACGAGCATAAATAAGAAACTTTACAGTAGATGGCATTAAACACATAAGATTTAACATGATGGTGAAAATCATCCAAAATTGCCAGTCCCCACTGGGACAAGAAATATTACCTGAACGAACATGGACACCTTCAAGAGAACTAGATACAGTGGTACCTCGGAACACGAGTGTCCCTGTATGCGAGTTTTTCGGAATACGAGCCGGATTTCCTCGGAAAATGTGTCTCGGAAGGCGAGGGTTACCTCGGAACACAAGTTTGTTGATACGCGTTCAGGCCGACCTAGCGCATGGTGGTATGGCGATCGTCGCCCCTCCGCCCCTCCACCCCTCAGTTTACCATTGTCTCCCGCCCAGTGACTGTCCCTCCTGAATTCTTCACAAGGATTTACAGTTTTATGTCGTTTTTTTGGCCATTTGAGCATAAAAGTTATTATATATCTCGCCATGGGTCTCGAGAAAGCCATTGATAAGGTTCAACCTAAGAAAATAGCTGTGAGTAGAGGCAGTAGAGGATGTCCCTTCTTGATTAAGAAAATGTGTGAAGTATGGGAAGAACTGCAAAGTTTTGTTGAAAAAACTCACCCAGATAAAGCTGTAGCAGGCTGTTGCATTGACCTTTTAAATGACAATGTGATGTCTTAATACAGACAAGTGTTAAAATGTAGGGAAAAACAAGTGTCTTTAGACAGATTCTTAGTAAGACAAGCAAGTGCTAGTGGTATGCAGGCAAAATGTGCCAGTGTGTGCATACCAGTGAAGTCCTTACTGCCTGATGTTATAATGGAAGGAGACTCCCCTTCCAAACAGTAACACCTCTCCTCCTCCCTCCTCACATCTTCCATACACCAACAGCAGTCCTCAGCAAGGGTAAGTAATAGCTTGAACATAGTTTTGTAGGTTTATTTAGATGAATTAGGTATAAAAATTTAGTTTGATGTGGGGTTTTTGGGTTAGTCAGGAACGGATTAATTCATTTCCCATTATTTCTTATGGGGAAATTAGCTTCGGAATACGAGCCGTCTCCAGGAACGGATTAAACTCTTAAACTGAGGTACCCCTGTAGTTTTCAAGAAGTGCCGGACCAACTGGGCTGTGGTGGGTCTGCGGGCTGCTCCAAGCAACAGCCTGATGGAACAAGCTCGCCCAATTGAAGAAATCGAACAGAGACTGAAGCATTCTTATCAGACTGAAGAAAGGCAACTAGAACAGAAAGCAATTCAAGAAATAAAGAAAAACCCAAAATATTTCTTCACATATGCTAAATCAAAAGTGAAAACCACTGCCAGTATTGGACTTATTCATATTAGTGAAGGTTCATACACTGAGGATGACAAAGAAATTAGTGAAATCCTAAAAAAACAGTATGACATGTTTAGCACTCCAATACTCAGCATGAAAGTGGAAGATTCGGACAGTTTCTTTATGAATGATAGTCAAACACCTGTAAATATAACTGATATCAACACGAGCGTGGCAGATTTTGAAAGAGAAATTGACAATATGCCCATGCACTCGGCCCCGGGTCCAGACTCGTGGAATTCGATATTTATAAAGAAATGCAAAGTGCCAGTAGCACAGGCACTCAGTATAGTGTGGAGGAAGAGCTCGGACACAGGGGAGACACCAGATGCGCTTAAAGCAGCAGACATTGCCCCTCTATACAAGGGTGGTAGCAAAGCATTGGCAAAGAATTATAGACCAGTTGCACTAATGTCCCACATAATAAAAGTATTTGAGAGAGTGATCAGGAGTCAGGTCACTAGATTCATGGAAACCAATGACCTCCACAATCCAGGCCAACATGGATTTAGAGCAGGAAGATCATGCCTCTCACAGCTACTTGACCACTATGACAAAATCACTGAGGCATTAGAGGAAAAACATAATGCAGATGTCGTATACACAGATTTTGCAAAGGCATTCGACAAATGTGACAATGTAGTGATTGCACACAAAATGAGGTCAATAGGTATAACTGGTAAAGTTGGACGCTGGATACTCGATTTCCTGTCGAACAGAACACAGAGTAAGTCAAAGTAAAATAGTCAGAGCGCAGTTAAAAGCGCTGTACCTCAAGGTACAGTCCTTGCACCACTGCTGTTCCTTATTCTCATATCAGATATAGACAAAAAACAAAAGTCACAGCTTCGTGTCATCCTTTGCAGATGATACAAAAATCGGCATGAAAATTATCTCTGCTGAAATTGAAATTGAAATAAGTTTATTGAGATAAAATACACACAAAGGGATGAGGTAGCTCAAGCTATTCTCACTCCGTTCAGTACATCGTGTTAATACATACATATAAACACATCACAAACAATAAACATATTACCAAACATTCTGAGAGATAAACATCTACATTTCCTATCTCTGCTGAAGACATTGATAAACTACAAACAGATATTAACAAAGTTTTCGATTGGGCAGCAGAAAATAACATGATGTTTAATGGTGATAAATTCCAGGTACTCAAATACGGCAAAAATGAGGATCTTAAAACATAATACAGGGTACAAAACACAATCGAATCTGCCCATAGTAGGAAAACAGCATGTCAAGGATTTGGGAATAATGATGTCTGACGACCTAACATTTAGGGAGCATAACCAAGCAAGTATTGCGTCGGCCAGAAAAATGATAAGATGGATTACGAGAACCTTCAAGTCCAGAGATCCCATCACAATGGTTGTACTCTTCAAATCACTTGTTATCCCGTCTTGAGTACTGCTCAGTAATCACTTACCCCTTCAGAGCAGGAGAGATTGCTGAAATTGAGGGAATACAGAGAACATATACGGCACGCATAGACGAGATAAAGCACCTAAATTATTGGGATCGTCTCAAAGCTCTCCAAATGTACTCGCTAGAAAGGAGACGAGAGAGATACCAAATAATATACACATGGAAAATACTGGAGGGACAGGTCCCAAATCTGCACAGTAAAATAACAATGTACTGGAGTGAACGACATGGAAGAAAATGCAGAATAGAACCAGTGAAGAGCAGAGGTGCCATGGGCACAATCGGAGAACACTGTATGAACATCAGAGGTCCACGGTTGTTCAACGTCCTACCAGCGAGCATCATAAATATTGCAGGAACAACCGTGGACATCTTCAAGAGGAAACTAGATTGTTTCCTTCAAGGAGTGCCGGACCAACCGGGCTGTGGTGGGTATGTGGCCCTGCGGGCCACTCCAAGCAACAACCTAGTGGACCAAACTCTCAAAAGTCGAGTCTGGCCTCGGGCCGGGCTTGGGGAGTAGAAGAACTCCCAGAACCCCATCAACCAGGTAAGTCAAGCCTGGCCCCAGGCTGGGCTTCGGGAGTAGAACAACTCTCGGAACCCCATCCAAGTACAGGTCAGCTTCTGGTCTCTCATTATATGATCATAGCACTTGCCTGTGTCAACATTAAGGTATTCACTATGTAGGATTAGTTTGGTATTCTTAAATTTTGTATAGAGATTCTTTACCTTTGAGTATACAGTATTTTGCATGAAAAAGTAATTTTTGTCCTGGCTCCCAAATTAGGGACAAATATATGATTTTGTGCATGTTCATACTTTTTTGAGACTACCCTACTTCCCTTTTTCTCTCTCCCCCCCAAAAATATAACTCGGATGTTAATTCTGTTAACCTGCATTTTGAAGGTTAACGTTAGTGCAATAATATTTATTTGAAATATAATTCCATGTTTGTACATTATAATGTACAAACATTATAATTCATGTTTAAATACAGTTACCTGCCAAAGCCGTAACTGCCAAAACTGTGCAGAGTTTCAAAATGTGCTTGGAAAAGATCATAAAACGCAAATGGGGAGGACCTTCGACAAGCCGCCGGATTCCTGTTCTTGGCAAGGTCACTAGGGTTGGTGGCCGTCAGGTAAATACCTGGTTGGTTGATTCCTGGTTGATGGGGTTTTGAGAGTTCTTATACTCCCCAAGCCCAGCCCGAGACCAGACTTGACTTGTGAGAGTTTGGTCCACCAGGCTGTTGCTTGGAGCGGCCCGCAGGCCCACATACCCACCACAGCCCGGCTGGTCCGGCACTCCTTAAAGGAAACAATCATGTTTCCTATTGAAGATGTCCACGGTTGTTCCTGTAATATTTCTGATGCTCGCTGGTATGATGTTGAACAACCGTGGACCTCTGATGTTCATACAGTGGTCTCTGAGTGTGCCCATGGCACCTCTGCTCTTCACTGGTTCTATTCTGCATTTTCTTCCATGTCATTCACTCCAGTACGTTGTTATTTTACTGTGCAGATACAGAGGACCTGTCCCTCCAGTATTTTCCATGTGTATATTATATGGTATCTCTCTCGTCTCCTTTCTAGTGAGTACATTTGGAGAGCTTTGAGACGATCCTAATAATTTAGGTGCTTTATCTCGTCTATGCGTGCCGTATATGTTCTCTGTATTCCCTCAATTTCAGCAATCTCTCCTGCTCTGAAGGGGGAAGCGAGTACTGAGCAGTACTCAAGACAGGACAACACAAGTGATTTGAAGAGTACAACCATTGTGATGGGATCTCTGGACTTAAAGGTTCTCGTAATCCATCCTATCATTTTTCTGGCTGACACAATACTTGCTTGGTTATGCTCCCTAAACGTTAGGTTGTCGGACATCATTATTCCCAAATCCTTGACATGCTGTTATAATAATACATGTATTTTTTAAATTCTTTCGGATAACTTGCACTACCTTTATATCAGCCATTTGTTATACATTTTTATATTTCGGATAATATTTATCCGAAATATAAATCCATATTTATTTGTACATTATAATAAATATTAAAAAAAATATATATATATATATATAATATATATATATATATATATATATATATATATATAATTACTAAGAACTCTTTGACCCGGCCAGGATTCGAACCCATGCCGTCCAGGATCATTACACAGTACCGTGACCACCGCACCAATGATCTTTCGATCATTGATGTGTACTTTTGATCCTGGACGGCATGGGTTCGATGGCCGGGTCAAAGAGTTCTTAGTGATATATGGCTTGCGCGTTCATTTGTTGATTCTTTCAGATGACTTTTACTACCTTCATGTCAGCCATTTGTTATGCAGCCCTGGCTGTTCTTGCATCTCCAGTATTTGTGAGGGTTGTTATTGGCCCTTACAGAATGCCTCAAGATGAGATGATTCTTGCTATTGCATCAAGCATTATGAGCTTTTTGCATACCATTGCCTGCTTGGCTTTCCCCATTGGTGTGAGAACACCTCCACACTTTATCAGGACAATTGCTGAAATTATGTCAAAAGAGTTTTCTATGAATGAATTCAACATTAAGGAAGTCTTATCATCATCATCTGCTGCAATGTCAAGTGCTGCTCTGACCCTGAGAAGCAAATTCCGAAGATGTAACACCTTGTATTGCAATATCATATCTTCAGTAAGTACAGTACTGCATTATATACATTAATACTTAAAACAATTGTTTTCATAACAGTAACATGTAAAGCTGCTACTCAGAATGTTAAATAATTTGCATCCTTCTTGAACTTTTGAGTTATTCTGGCCCAATGTATGGGTCGGTTATAGCCTAAGCCAAGGGCTGCAAATATGTAATAATCGCCAACTTTATTTGACTAAAGCTGTGACATTGAAGCAAGGAAATTTTGTAGCTAAACTACCACATCTACCCCTATACTAACTCTTTAAGCTAGTACACTGTGCTCATCCCAGCACAAGAAATTACCAAATACTGTACACTCAAAAATTATATAAATAATTACTATTGATCCCATATCATGAGGCGATCCCAAGCCTCCAACCTTGGACAGAAGCACACATTCAGACTGCTATAAAGAATAAAATAAATGTTTTATTTTAATAAAGGTACCTTTTGATACCTTTATCATCAAATTGATAATATTTATAATTGATATTTAATTTATACCTTTGATCAGGTATCAAAGGATACTTGATAACCAGGCTGCAAGCAGCTGCATTAAACAGCCTGGTTGATCAAACCAGCAACCAGGAGGCTCGGTCAGAGACCGAGCCCCAGGGACGCTGATCCCGAAATCGTGAATGGGTAGAACAGGTTGATCTACATTGATATTCCTCTTGTGATTGTCAATTTTCTTTATATACTGTACTATATATACTGATTATGAAACGGTAATTCTTTTTGCATCACGTGTGACTCGGTTACAGTAGAACATGTAAATTGTTTTTATAGCGATGTATTAAGATGGTAAAAATGAACATACTTGGTTACCTGGTAAATGCACCAGCAACAAACAAAATAATAGTTAAACTTCAATGTTTTAACACATGAATTCACTCTTGTGAAAAATTTACTCCTCGCTGATGACTTGCCTTATGGACTATTTTAGTGCTCGTTGCAATTGAAAATCGCCTTCTGTGGTCATGAACATGCTTACTGTACCACAAGTGTTAGGGTCTTGTCTTTCTGATCTCACCACTTGATGAAAGCCACATAGTTTTTCTCTTGTGACTTTTGGTGCTGGGGGTGTGGAGAGATTTTATTATTATTATTATTATTATTATTATTCTACCACAGACGTGGCAGAGATGATTGCTGCATATGACAGTCCATGGAGTGAAATCTGAAAAATATCTTTATTCTCTATTAAATTGAAACAAATACATTTTTTACTCTTGACATTAATCTAAGCATGTTTGTCCAGGGTTGGAGGCCAGGTGCTTGGGATAACCTCATGAAACTTTGGATTTGTGTGTAGTGTCATGGGGGAAGGGTTCGACCCCCATGGCCCCCTGTTTACACAGGATCGACTCTTATTCTGAATATTGGCAACTTCTATGAAGTCTGATTTTTTGTAGTAGTTAGTAGTAGTACTGAATGATATGATCGACTTGAGAATGGTCCAGGACGGACCGAAACGTCGTCGTCCCTTCAATTTCTAGTGTGTGGTCTGGTCAACAAAGAAATAAATGTTTCGTAAAATGCCAATATCAGTACACCAGCAAAAGCCTGAATACAAGTGAGTTTACCCTATGGTGCATCTCCACATAATTGCTTCTGTTGGTGTACAAATGTATCCAAGGAAAAGCTTTGTGAAACGTCCTGTAATTTTCTTCCCGATTGCTTTAGTATGTAGCAAATAATTTTTTTTGTATTCATGCTCACTTTTTTTTTTTTTTGTCCTCAGGCTCTCTCTGTTCTGGCAATAATACTTCTCGGTATTGGAAGTGGTGGTTACGGTGGTACTCTGTGGCCAGGCATCTTGATGCTGTGTGGAGATGTTGCACTCTTCTTACGCTCCCTGCCAGAAGCCTTGTCAGAACTGGTTTACCATCATTACAATGAAACCAATTTGTTGGTAAGTATGTGAGGATGAGACTGGTGTATCTACATAATATGTACAATTTTTAAATGAAATAAAGTACTGAATATACTGTATGCTTTTTATGTAAAATTATCTCTAGTTAGGCTATTGAGTTCTAACTTGATTGCAGTGAAAGTAAAGTACAGTATTTTGGAAAGAATGGTAATGTCCTAAGTAATATATCTAAAATGAATAGATTTATTTAAACATATCATGGCTTAATTTTATCCTTTGCTATTCCTGAAAAATCTATCATTACCAGGATTCCATTGCTATAGAATGCATGCTATATACTCTTGAAATGGTTGTACAAAAAAAAATTTGGAGAAAACTTTAACAATTAAGACAGGATTAGATAAGCTTCGGCGACTCGTAGCAAAGCATGAACCTCGCACCTTGCATCCAGTGGGCAGTCAAGTGGCATTTGGAGCTCCTTTTCTTGCCAAGGGCTGAAGGACAATAATGACCATTTGAGAAGTTTCTCTTGACAGAAAGGAGAGTCTGAGCAATTGTTCCCAAAATCTTTAGGCAGGGCCTCAATGATGCAACAGGCAAAGTTTGGCCAGAATCTCATGACTGTTTTCACTTACCTAAAAGATTTATGCAGTTGGCTCACAGGCCCATGAAGCTTGCCCCTCTGGCAAATTTGCCTGTTCCTGTGTCAGATGTTATGATTTTTTCTGGGCTCTTTGAGGGGAGCTTCCTGATGGCCTTGCATAATAAAGCTGTGATGGGCCCTGAAATGAGACCTCCCCTGAATCACCCTCATTAGTCCTCACCTATGGCAATAGTGACAACAGGTTGCCCACTGACCAGCAGCTGCTCGATTAATTGCAGATACTCTACCTCAATGGTTGTCTGTCATTGAGGTATGATAGACAAACATCATACAGGATATGAGGTATAACTTCATATCTTGCTAATATGAGGGATGCTGTGATGTCAAAACCACACAGACAATGAAGAAGCAACTGTCTCGCTGAAGCTGCTGCTGAATAAGCTTGCTACAGCGAAGGACAGACCAGAGATTACAGTTTAATGTAACGAGTTTAAAGTAAGGGTTTAATGTTAACAAGTGTGCCTCTGAGCTCATGATCGATGGGTGGCAGGTCTTGACCCTGGGTTATTAGGGCTTTCACCTAGTGGTGGTGGCCTGAAGAGTTGGACCAAGGATCTTTCACCAGTTGCCATATATATCCTTTCCATTTTGTCATTTAATTTATTTCAAGAATTGGTTTTTTGTTTTGCTTGAACATTCTAGGCAGTTTTCCTTTGTTTTTGGGTAGATTTCAGATTCTTACATTCTATTCGCATTGAGAACCAGATTATGGCCTTATTTTCCAGTAGGCTTGTGCAAGTTACAGGAACCTAGTGAAGGCTTAGTTACCAGCGCTTAGCTCTGGAAACTACCAAGACACCATCCAGTTAGTTTCATTCTTGTACATTATATGCATATATTTTGTTTTATTTTTATACATAGTGTTATGTAATTGTATTTATTCAGCACCAATTATGTGATATTACAATTTCTAATAGATTAATCAATTAATTATATTTCAGAAAATTATGCACCTCAGCCTGGAAAACACAATCTTATTCATTGGCAGCATTGGGAAGCCTCCAGGTCATCGAGAGTGGACAAAATAACCCAAATTTTTAAGAAGTGGAGCGGAGTGAAGCCTTCCAGGCCTTGTGGAGGATTTATCAGAAGCTGAAGGTGATGTAGAGGTATTGGAGGAAGATTTTGGAATCCACAACGATTATAGTGTACCTAGAGCAGAGGGAATGATACGGCAACGAGTGATGAGGAGTGATCATGAAAGGTGTGGACCACTTCGATCAAATGGTTAAATATTACCATTTTACCAGGAAAACTCACAAGTGGACCAAAAAGATTACCTTTTATTTCCTGCAAATGGCATTGCATAATGCCTATGTTTTGTACAAATACAACACAACTGATCGAAAAAAGCTAACATTGCTACAGTTCCACGAAGTGGCAATCTGGGCCCTATTGCACTGGGACACAGAGGAGTGGCCTAAAACATCATCATCATCTCAACACTTGCAGCACGCTCCAGACATAAATGATGACACAGCTCCTGCCAATGCTGACGCCATGCCAACTCCCGGACCATCTGGTGTGAGGCGGCCTTTGTTCACTACACCACCTCAAGATGAAGCAGACAACGAATCTGAACCCGACATGTCTGCCACACTGCCAGTTGACGAAACTGTTTTGTCAGATGAATGACTTCCTGCAACTCCTGTTACACCTCCAGCGAGAGGACCTGGCCACCCTATTGTTGATTCAGAAAATCGCATGAACTACAAACTGAAACATGAAATTTACAGACTGCCCAAACGTCTCAAGTGTTGCATGCGCACGGTCCGGTAAAAGGAAGGACACGAACTATGGATGCAAGACCTGTGGTGTTGCACTCTGTGTTGTTCCCTGCTATACCACCGGAAACAGGTGTATTGGGTGGTGAAGAAGTAACACTCGCAACAACTTCACTCCACCTACAAACCATCTGTGTGGAATGAAGAACCTGATAGTGAAGAACAAATGCTCAACTTACTGTTCCACAACCAGCCTTCCCTTGGTAAGTACACCTATTTGGTCCAAGTTTGTGTAGTATAATTTAGCTCATAGAACATTCTATTGCGAAAACATTGCCACAAAAATTTACATACAATAATAATATCAGAACAGTGAAATAAGTATAAACTTTCAAAGCAACGTTTCGCGCGTGTGTCGTCCGGTCACCGTTACCGGGTAACAGTGCGCCCACTTCCCATTTGCGGGTGGGCCGGGACCATATTCTACGATTATATTCATATCACCGTATTGGGAATTTTATTGGGAGTCCATTGATACCAAAATTAAGGCTGTAGGACAATTTTGATAATAATCCCAAGAGTAAAAACATTTTGTTGCTGTTGAGCGCTCACGGCGACTCATCTTCGTAGTTAATTTCATGCTGGTATCTCTATAGCTTTCGTGACTTTTTTTACTGCCTCGATGATACCAAAATGATACGTAGCTGAAAACTAAGCTTGCTTAAGTACTTGTGAGTTTCGCCGAGAGCGCGAAAGTGCACATGTATTTTAATTTTTAAAAAAGATTACTGCCTCATGATTGATTGATTGCTTGCTTGTACTTGTGTTTTGCACATGTTTTGTGTTTTGCTTTATATTTTTAAAAACAATAGTGTGGCATATTTAACCTTTTGCTTTGTGGCATACAGTATTTATAGCCACACAGTTATATTGTTATATTCCTCTTGTTATATTTATAACAATAGTGTGGCATATTTAACCTTCACTTTTAATTAAAATGTTACTTTATCTTTACCATTTCCTAGTTATGCTAGATTCTTTCAGTAATAACAGAATACTCAAATACCACATATGCTCAGTAATCCGAAGCATTTCAGGGCAACCTCTATTCAAGTTAGCTAGCCAAATTTCTTACCAGAAATGTCCAAAAATTAACATTTGCAGTTTTGTGCACCCACAACTAATAATTCTTGTAACTCCTGCTGTTTACCTGGCTATGATGGGTACTGTATAACCTTTAACATGAACTCCTATTCAGGTTGAAAGGTAGTAAAGACTAACATTAATTCATTAGTTGCTGGAATTCTGATTACTGAGATCTTACAGTACTGTTTGTTCTCAGAGTAATGAAGACTGTAAAGTTCAGAACAAGTGAAGGAAGGTAGTATATTTTTAAGAGCTTGTACATGGGCTTATAGTATAAGCCATTACATTGAAGTTCTCTTTCCTATCTGTTGGTGTCATTTTTAATCTTAAGACTAAGGTTCATTAAGATTGGTATTAATTTTCATAATGAAACTGGATAACGAGTTGCCAATTTAGCAATTTCATCGGCTTTCATTTAATGGGATTTCAACATGGGATGGGATCCAGTTTAGGGTGATAAGTCTTCTGCTTTTAGCTACTACTCCAAGATACAAAATGATGGTAATTATTTCCACATCTTTCTACTGTTTTTTCCTAATATTTGAAGTGCAGCTTTTGAGTGTGTGTATGATTGAGTGAGCATTTTGAGTGTTTTGTGCAATCACATGTGAATGCCTGTTGTCTGGCAAATGGCTCAGTGTGGGTTGATTATACTGGTCCTTCCAGTCTCCAATATGCCTGTTTGCTGTCCGTGCAAAGAGCAGTGCCAGCACACTCATATTCTGAGTCCGCCGATCCATCTGTGAAGATGTGGGTGGCTCCTGCTACTGCAATGCTGCTCATTTGCTTTTCTATGATACACCTTAGGATTGTTTTATCATAGGCAGCCTTTTTCATCAGAAGACTTTGTTACTATTTTAAAGATAGGCTGCTCCCACGGTGAGGAGCAAGTGTAGTTTGGGTGTGGTTGATCACCTCTATCAAGAATCCTGCTTTTTAATTGTCTGTTTAGGACTTTTCTTGCTTTGTCAGCCCAATAATTTCCATTGTTTTGGCTAAGTCCAACCACCAAGGCCTGTTGTACTGGATCAAGGGAAAACAATTATCTTGCTGATAATCGTAACTGTTCTTAGAGATATTTTTCCTTGTAGAGAGGGCAAACCTATTTCCAGTCTGTTTCAAGCCTGGTCCACATTGGGTCTCCAAGAGCAGCTCTCATAGCATTATTTTGGGCAACTTCCAGCTTTTGTCACTTTTGTTGTGATAAGCTTGTGATTGCAGGTGCAGCATAGTCGATCACTGATCAGATTGCCTGTACATAGTATGTGCGAATGACTTGCAGATTGGCTCCTCCAGAGAGGGAGGTTACCACAACAGCCTAACTATGTTACCTATATACTGCTAGGTGAACAAAGGCATCGGGTAAAAGGAAACTTGCCCAACTATGTTCTGCCTGGGGATCAAACTTGAGATCTTCAATTGCGAAGCAAGGATGTAGACTGCTGCACAATTCGCTGTACACTTTGTGCTATAATGCGACTGGTGGATGAATGCTAGAATATAGTAGTGCTTGTTTATCCACGATGCTGTTGTATTGTGAATGATGTATTGAGTGGATGAGTAGTGATATTTTGTTATATAATTTAATTCCTATTAAGAATATAAGAATGAATGAATAAACATAAGAACATGAAGGTAACTGCAGAGGCTTATGGGCCCATATGAGGCAGCTCCTTTTTATAACCACCCAATCTCATTCATATACATGTCTAACCTATGCTTGAAACAATCAAGGGATCCTTCTTATGTTACGTGGTAATTAGTCTACAAATCAACAACCCTGTTACCGAACCAGTATTTACACAGGTCTTTCCTAAATCTAAACTTATCCAATTTATACTCATTGTTTTGTGTTTTGTGTTGATACTTTTAATACCCTATTAATATCCCCTTTGTTACGTCCATTCATCCACTTGTACACCTCTATCATGTCACCCTAATTCTTCGCCTTTCTAGAGAATGTAATTTAAGCTTTGTCAATCTTTCTTCATATGACAGGTTTTAAATTGGGGGATTAACTTTGTCATCCTATGCTGGACGCGATCTGGTGAATTTATATCCATTCTATAGTACGGAGACCAAAACTGAACTGCATAAGTTAAGATTTGGTACAATATTAACAATATTGTACCAAACAATAAAATAGTATAATAAAAGGTACAATAAAAGTTTAGTACATAATAAAAGGTACATTATTATTCTACCTTTTTTTACCATGCTTTTTTTCTTAAAGCTTTCATTGATAATGAAAGTGAGAATTGTTAAAGAGTGTAATGTAATGGAAAGTTAAATAAAAATAGTAGGTTATAACTAAGAATGCAGACATTGTTTATGGAATACTACTGAACAAAGGATACAACTTAAATGTTTTGTGCCACAGTTTGTATAGTAGATGTACTTGTGTATACCCTGCAATATTGTATGTTACAAAGGAGGAGTATTCAGAGAAAATATTAGTGCAAGTTAAATTGGATTATATTAATGATCAATCTTCTCTAAATCACTTTTTTACTGTACAGACTGGTCGAGTGATGCAGTACTACAAGTACCAGAATAAAGGCATATCTACAGTTGGAGAGACTGGTGAAGAAGAGGACACCAAACCACTTAAAGAGGCAGAGCTTGAGACAGCACAGGAGCTTAGTGATGAGAAGCATAGTGGTCAACCGGAGATACTTGCTTGAGTTACTACTTACATGAATCCCGTCTTCATACTTGCATACTAAATGTAATGCTTATGATTGTTTCATAATTGTTATGAAACAATTTATTTAGCTTGTAGAGTGCCTTATATATTGGGGAAAAGAAAAAAAAATTCATAGTTTAGTGTTAGATATGGTAGACTTTGGATTTTTCTACATTTCTTTGAATATGTATTTAGTTTCCAGTACTACTAACTCCATTCATTTGGCCCTCGTGGCAATTTCCCTCTTGCTACAAAGCCTCCTTTAGAGTGAGGTTTGGTACCTCTCTTAACTCTTTTTTTTTTTTTTTTGGCAATACAAGAGTGTAGCCCAAGGTAGTGTTCCGAGTACTACTATTTTCTTGGATGCACTTGATAGTCTTCTTTCCTCCCTTCCCTCTGGAATTTTCTCAGCTCTATTGTTGATCTTGCCTTCTGCTGTCGATATAATTCGCTTTTCCTCCATGGATGGCTTCAATTTGACATTGCTTCCGTGTCGTCCAGGGCCACCAATCATGGTAACTTTTACTCAGAAGCAGGTTATTCACCTTTCACCATAACCAGCGGTGGGAAACTGCTCTGGCTAGGTTACATATTATCCATATAAGTTTACTCTCGGGCACTTAATGGAGAATTGACCTTCTCCTTTTTGTTTGAACTGCATTATCCCATGTTATGGTTGTACATCTCCTAGTGTCCTGATTTCTAGGACGTTAGTGTCTTTGTTTCCTGACTCTCGTGGTCATGTCAATAGATAGAATCCTTGGTGAATCCAATACTTTTGATATTGCTCACCTTATGCACTTTTCCTCTCATATTGTCGTCCTTAGTGATATTAAGCGCCTTTTGAATCGCCTACGACTTTGATGGTGTTACATAGTCTTCCCGGCTTAGAGCCTTAATTTTGATAATTATTGTATGGAAGACAATACTGTGTTTATGATAACTAATTTGCTTCCATTTTTGTGAACTTCTTTCTAATGGGGAAAAATTGTATGGCTCATACTGTAAATTGTAAGTATTTTATATGATCATTAAACTAAAACTTTTGATTTACTTTGCACTGTTTTCTTTATTTAATCTGTAGCCCTTCACTTTCATTTGATCCATAGTAGTGGAGGAAACCCTGTTCATTAGTCTGAAAATTACCAGTTAAGGTTATTTGTGGCTCTCCAATAGCTGTTTTGTTAAATTGATAGTTTTATTCAAGTATCCAATTAAGCCTCTGATTTCTGACATTGATTGGCATATCATATAAATGTGATATCTTGTTCAATATTTTAAAATGTTTACTTGGCCAACTAAATTTGTCAAAAATGGATACAGAACTTTTGACATTTGAAAGTAAAGAAAGTGATTTTTTAACAAACATATTAGTACAGTATACTCTAAAGGTTACTATACAGACTGAATTTAAAGTGTAAATGTATACTTCAGTGTAACCCATTACATCTAATATATTTTTATGAATGTATTTTGATATGGAATAATTTTGATGAAGTATTTTTAATTATCATTAAATTCTACCCAATTTCATAATCTCCAAATACGGTAATAAAATTTACAAAATTTTAATAATTTGTCTTGATTGTTGCCTATATTGTTTGTGGTTTCAGGGAGAGGATTAGCTATTGGCTCACTTGTTTGATTTCTGGTATCTGGTGTAACTATTTATGATATGATACATTTTTAGTTCTGACACAAGATGGCCTTGGTACCCAGGTGATTGTACCTTTATTGACAATTGTTTCTAGTGTCTGCCTCAATTAATTTCCTCTAATTTGCGTCAGTTTGTCATTAAGAATACTCGGTAACAGGGATGTTGTGATCATGTTATAGCATGTCCTAGATATTTAACCAATATCTAATTTTTTCAAATTCTACATAATTATACGTAGTGGTCTCTGTAAATACAATACAGTGACACCTCGGCTTATGAATGCCCCTCTTTACAAATTTTTTGGGTTACGAGCCCAATTTCTTCGTAAAATTTGAATGGGGTTACGAACTTTGCCTCGAGTTAAGAGTTTGTTGATAACACGTATGGGTCGCCCGAGCGCATGGTTCCTGGTGGCTAGGGGAGGCATACTCAGTTTATCAGTGCCTCCTGCCTAGTGACAATCGCTCTTGAATTTTGTACAGAATTTCATTGTTTTTTCAACTTTTTTTGGTTTCTAAACATGAAAAGTAATTATAATAAATAAAAAAGTAAAATAATAAAAGTTAAAAAAAGAAATAAAGTAACCAGCAAGCTTCCCATCAGCCTGCCAAGTGAGGAGCAAACTGGGTCCAACACAAGGTCAATTAATGTAGATATGACTGCAAGTCATTGAATTGGCTGTAATGACAGTATTGCCATTTTGGGCTATTTATGCCAATGCCACCTCTTGGGTGGGTTAATCAAGCATCAGTCAGTCAGTCAAACGCTAATTGTGGTTCAGTACAGATGTGCTAGAGATACACTTCGGATCTTCAACATCATCAACATTAACTATGCAACAATGTAACACTTGTTGAGTCCAGTTCCTACTCTCACAAGATGCTTCAGCCTCCCTATAGTACAGACAGATTCTGGCCGTACCCGAGCTCCCAGCGCTTGTCTGTCCGGCATTCGTGCTCTATGCTCTCACCCCGCACCGGAGCTCTGCTCCAGGCCTTTGCTCAATTATCACATATCATTACATCAACAACTGACTGCTGTAACCAAGACTTTATTAAATAACTATAAAAAAACACCAAACTATTTGAATCTTAACACCCAAACATGTTTACGTAAACATACGTTACAGTGGTAACACTGGAAATGGAATGTGTGGTAACAGTGGAGGTATATTGTATAGCAACACTGTAGGTGCAGTGTGTGGTGTAATTTCTCGCCTAATTGTATTCACTTAACTGCTTGCGGGGGTTGAGCTTCGGCTCTTTGGTCCTGCCACTCGACTTAATCAACTGGAGTACAGTTCCCCAAGCCTATTGGACTCTATCATATCTACATTCGAAGCTGTGTATGGAGTCAGCCTCCACATCACTTCCTAATGCATTCCATTTATTAACAACTCATACTGAAAAGGTTTTTCAAATGTGTGCTCACCTATTTGTGCTTGCGGGGGGGGGGGGGCTTTGAGCTCTGGCTCTTTGGTCCCGCTTCTCAACTGTCAATCAACTGGTGTACAGGTTCCTGAGCCTACTGGGTTCTATCATATCTATACTTGAAACTGTGTATGGAGTCTGCCTCCACCACATTACTGTGTGTGTATGTGGCTCATTTGGGTACTTAGTTTCCACCTGTGTCCTCTTATGCGAGTACCATCCATGCTAAATTATTTGTTTTTTAAGGTTATAAAATAACGTGCAGCACTAGAGGTGCAGAACGTGTTAACACTTAAGGTGGAGTATATGATAACACTGGAGATGCAGTGTCTGGTAATACTGCATCAGTGTGTTAACACTGGAGGTGGTGTTAACACAGTGTTACCACCCAGTGTGTGGTAACACTGGAGGTGCAGTGTGGGGGTAACACTGGAGGTGCAGTGTGTGGTAACACTGGAGGTGCAGTGTGGGGTAACACTGGAGGTGCAGTGTGGGGTAACACTGGAGGTGCAGTATGGGGGTAACACTGGAGGTGCAGTGTGGGGTAACACTGGAGGTGCAGTGTGGGGGTAACACTGGAGGTGCAGTGTGGGGTAACACTGGAGGTGCAGTGTGGGGTAACACTGGAGGTGCAGTATGGGGGTAACACTGGAGATACAGTGTGGGGTAACACTGGAGGTGCAGTGTGAGGTAACACTGGAGGTGCAGTGTGGGGTAACACTGGAGGTGCAGTGTGGGGTAACACTGGAGGTGCAGTGTGGGGTAACACTGGAGGTGCAGTGTGGGGTAACACTGGAGGTGCAGTGTGGTAACACTGGAGGTGCAGTGTGGGGTAACACTGGAGGTGCAGTGTGGTAACACTGGAGGTGCAGTGTGGGGTAACACTGGAGGTGCAGTATGGGGGTAACACTGGAGGCACTGGGCGCAGAAACATATCTAGACTGCAATTGAAAGTATCTTGATTCAGTTATAGAAAAAGGCTCGTGAATCGGTTTTCTTTCGTGTATGTTGTCGCCGTGAACGGGAGGGAAGCGAGCCAATCTTATATCTAAGTGAACATCTTGATGAGCTGTTGTATCAACACCAATATCAGCATCTCATCTTTGTGGGAACCAGCACCAGGTTGCTAGAGTATTTCATGAATTTCTGCACATCTTTGGTTCTAAGAGTCATATCAATAGTGCTACGTACGCCTTTTGCCGTCTTCGTTAATGATGATACTGTTAACTGCTTTTGTAGTAAATGGAAGTTAATTCAGCTCCCTGCCTAACAACTTGGACTGGACGGTAGAGAGACGGTCTTGCAGGTCAGGTCGGCGTTCAATCCCCGACCGTCCAAGTGGTCGGGAGCCATTCCTTCCCCCCGTCCCATCCCAAAATCCTTATCCCGATCCCTTCCAAGTGCTATATAGTGGTAATGGTTTGGCGCTTTATCCTGATAGTTCCCTCCCTGGGAGTGTTGGGCAGGGCTCGGCTGGACGTAAATGAGGTCAGAGGCCGCAGCTACTGCCCGAACTTCAAACCAAAAAATTATGCATGATTAAATACACCTTAATTTACCCGAGGGCCACCAACACTCTAGTGACCTCAACGAAAACAAGAAGCCGGCGGCTTGTCAAAGGTCCCGCATTTGCCCTGGTGATATTTTCGAGTTGGATTTTAAAATTTAAGTTTTGACATTTACGGCTTTAGCAGGTATGCGGTTCCACAGGTTAATAACCCTATGAGTAAAAAATCATCTGTTCTCAGTCCTACATTGTGGCTTGTTGTGCTTGAAACCGTTGCTCCTTGTTTGTGTTACATCTGACATTTTGAAGAAGTTGCCCGGATCAATATCCTCCAAATTGTTCAGTATTTTAAAATTTTCTACGAGATCCTAGGAGAATCCTGTATTATAATTTGCTCTGATGAAGGCGATGTAACCGAAAACGCGTTAAGCATTCTCTATTTTTCACATGTGGTTTTTCCTCATACTTAGATCAGTGTTTTTGTGATCATTGTTGTATGTATGTGTGTATATATATATATATATATATATGTCGTACCTAGTAGCCAGAACGCACTTCTCAGCCTACTATGCAAGGCCCGATTTGCCTAATAGGCCAAGTTTTCCTGAATTAATATATTTTCTCTAATTTTTTTCTTATGAAATGATAAAGCTACCCATTTCATTATGTATGAGGTCAATTTTTTTTTATTTTTAACGTAGATATATGACCGAACCTAACCAACCCTACCTAACCTAACCTAACCTATCTTTACAGGTTAGGTTAGGTTAGGTAGCCGAAAAAGTTCAGTTAGGTTAGGTTAGGTAGTCGAAAAAACATTAATTCATGAAAACTTGGCTTATTAGGCAAATCGGGCCGTGCATAGTAGGCTGAGAAGTGCGTTCTGGCTACTAGGTACGAGATATATATATATATATATATATATATATATATATATATATATATATATATATATATATATATATATATATATATATATATATATATATATATATATGACCGGTACCCCCGGTCACCCCAGTACAGACAAGAAACCATAACAAAAAAAAAAATCAAAGAAGAGAAAATAAATACCCTGAAGGCCCCTCGAGACAGTGTTGCAGTATCGGTGGAGTGCTAGACAAGTACACTGGCTGCTGCTTGGCCCTCTTGGCCGCCCGCCTGGGTGCTTTTGGAGGTTGGGTAGATGCCTCTAGTGCATCTACCCAACAAAATTTCGTCCTGCTGCTGGGGTTAAGCCCAGGCTCTACTCTCTACGACTACGAAGTCTCCTCTCCAGACTATTCTTCCGTCTGTTCCCCACTTCCCGCTCCCTCCTTTACCTGTACAATTGGTACACGGAGGATGGTTATTGTGCCATTCAGACCCAGCAGGCGACACGGGCAGTAGTTATCGTACCTGGGTGGTGTTGCGGGCGGGGGGGACGAGGCAGGAGGAGCAGCAGGTAGTTGGAGCGAGGCGCTCAACAGGTGTGTGCGTGCGTGTGTGTCGCTCCTCCACCGCCACCTTCCTCACGGTGGGGCAGGACCCGGTGGTCAGGCTCTTGATGCCTCCCGCAACAATCACTAAGACCATTGTTACAGTATATATATATATATATATATATATATATATATATATATATGTCGTACCTAGTAGCCAGAACTCACTTTTTGGCCTACTATTCAAGGCCCGATTTGCCTAATAAGCCAAGTTTTCCTGAATTAATATATTTTTTCTAATTTTTTTCTTATGAAATGATAAAGCTACCCATTTCATTATGTATGAGGTCAATTTTTTTTATTGGAGTTAAAATTAACGTAGATATATGACCGAACCTAACCAACCCAACCTAACCTAACCTAACCTATCTTCATAGGTTAGGTTTGGTTAGGTAGCCGAAAAAGTTAGGTTAGGTTAGGTTAGGTAGGTTAGGTAGTCGAAAAACAATTAATTCATGAAAACTTGGCTTATTAGGCAAATCGGGCCTTGCATAGTAGGCTGAGAAGTGCGTTCTGGCTACTAGGTACGACATATATATATATATATATATATATATATGTCGTACCTAGTAGCCAGAACTCACTTTTCAGCCTACTATGCGAGGCCCGATTTGCCTAATAAGCCAAGTTTTACTGAATTAATATATTTTCTCTAATTTTTTTCTTATGAAATGATAAAGCTACCCATTTCATTATGTATGAGGTTAATTTTTTTTATTGGAGTTAAAATTAACGTAGATATATGACCGAACCTAACCAACCCTACCTAACCTAACCTAACCTATCTTTATAGGTTAGGTTAGGTTAGGTAGCCGAAAACGTTAGGTTAGGTTAGGTTAGGTAGGTTAGGTTGTCGAAAAAACATTAATTCATGAAAACTAGGCTTATTAGGCAAATCGGGCCATGCATAGTAGGCTGAGAAGTGAGTTCTGGCTACTAGGTACGACATATATATATATATATATATCAGTGTTCAGTTATGAAAATACTTTGATTTTTATTAATATGAAATAGTGTGGGTTCTGTTCTGTTTGTAACTATTCTTTTATATAACTTAAGAACTTTTTGACCTGACCGGGAGTTCGAATCGGCATTTCCAGGGATCACCTCCTGGCGCACACAGTACCGTAACCCCTTCACCAGTGGTTACCTAGTCGTTGCCGATTGTGCACTACGAGAATTGCCGGCGATTAGTTATACATCTTAGTTAACAAGTTCCAGTGCTGACCAGTTCTTATAAGCAAGGGGGGGGGGGGTGATCCCTGGGATTGTACATGTATAAATGTAGGTTTGATCTCTGGCCGGGTTATATAGTAATTAAGTGATTACCTAGAAGGGGTACCACCTCTGGTTATATTTATATATATATATATATATATATATATATATATATATATATATATATATATATATATATATTTATATATTTATATATATTTATATATATATATATATATATATATATATATATATATATATATATATATATATATATATATATATATAATGACAGCATCATTTGCAAGTACCTGGAAGTAAAATATTTACAGTGATTCGTGTAAACACGCGTGAGGTGGACATGTGACACTTATAAACAGTAGCAAGTAGTTAACCTTCCTTCAAGATTACAGCCTCGACAACGTGTAAGGACACTTGTTGAAGTGGGTCATAACCCGCAGGGAATCACCACCTTGACAGCAGGAGAGCGCACTCCTCACTCCAGCGTCGGCGCCTCCATACTTCCCTCTTCCAGGGACATTCATTTAATCATACCTTCTCTGTCCCTCGTCACAATCCCTCATCTTCAGTGTCCCCAAATCTACAGTCGACCGCTCCTTCCCTCGACCCGTCACCTTCACTCGACCCCCTCACCTTCACCTCACAATTATCTTCAGTCTTCTCTTAACCCTCCCTAACCTTCAATCGTCCCATCACCTTCTTCATCAGTACTATTCCCCTCCTCCTGACGGAGGCGTGGGGATGCCTGGCCTCCACCCTGGAGAGTAAGGAGGCGGCGCGCTCCCCCCGGGGCGGGAGGGAAGCCAGGATGTGCTCCACCCTGGCCTCCGGCAGCCTGGATGGGGGAGGAGGACCCTCTCGACCCCCTACCACAGTGGGGTCAGAGGTCAAAATGAGGCGTTTTACCCTCCCCAACCTCTTCCTTACCGTCGAGGGCCAAGAACGCAAGTTGGAAGAGATATGTCCTGGAATCTACGAATACACAGGTAAGTCAATCAGCAAGGCGTGCATGACCTTACCTTGCGATGATTTCAGGGCTCAGCGGCCAGGTCCTCGTCCAGGCCTTCTGCACAAGCAAGACGAGTCACTGAGGGGAGTATGGGTGAGTCTGTGGGTGCTGGGTGGTGAGTCACTCGGGGGGGTATATATGGGTGAGTGAACAGAACTTGTGGCGAGTCGTTAACGAGGTCTAGTTGACGGTTCACTCTGGCATCCAGCGATAAGAATGATGGATACCGCAACAGCTGAGCAGGTCGTGTTTACACTGCCGCCATCACCACGATTTCATTTTCCATATTGTCTAGGGCAGAGATTCTCAACCTTTTTAAATTCACGGCACACTCAACAAAGCACTGAAGTAGTGAAGGCACTCTATTAGATTTTTTTTCAGCACAAGTGACAATAATTTTCATGTGTCAGTTGACTCGTTCAAATGAATGGTCCCTCAAACTCCCGCTGCGCACCTGTGGACCCTTCGTCGCACACCTGTGGACCCTTCGTGGTACACCTGTTAAAAAACACTGGTCTAGGGTCTTAAGGGGAAGGGTTAGGTCCAAGGGTTACGCGAGTGATGTCCCAAGATACTTGAACACCTGATCGGAAAATATATATTAAAAAGAAAGAAAACGACAACACTGGGAATTTAAAAAAACACGAAAGATTGGCACCCATGAGGTTGCCCGCGAGTGCAGGTCAGCGCCCCCCCCCCCCCCTCACAAGCCAGTTATCAATAAGTTGGTCCAAATTTAGTAGGCCCAAAACTAATATTTTGTGTTATAGGCACGAAAAGGGTTAATATAAGCACTGAGTCAGGGGCAATAAGAGAATAATTCAGCTAACAAATCAGCCACAGTCTTAAAATGGCTCTGTTACATAGCCTTCCCGGCTTGGTGCCTTCTTTTGATAAAATGACTCCCACTTTCTCTGTAGACACCGACAATCGTAATCTATCTCAATATCCGTCCCTGTCTGAAACTGTTGATGACATTTCAAGCCACAACCCCTTCATATCCTGCACTTCATTATTCACCCAGACGAGGAAAACTGATTTTGTTGTTTCCTTCTCAGGAGTAGTAGTAGTAGTAGGCATCCATCAGTCTCAGGAAATTATGGAGTTGCGCTCTGGTTGTCTGTTTAGCTTCTTCCTAGGGGTAAGAAGCTAAAAAGAAATTGAAATGGAAATTTGATCTAGTTTATTACTGATTACTTCATGTAAGAATGAGTAAATATTGTTCATATATTTTTGATCATAATTTGTGTTTTAGTTAGGGGTCCTAGGCAGAAAATCGTCATGTTTGGGAGGTCCTTCATATGATAAAGATTGGGGAACTCCTGTGCTAGCGTACTGCAGTAGTCAGTATTGCGTCTAGTGACTAGGACGTGTGAGGGGACGGGACCAAGCCTTTACGATCCACTGAAGCCTGGGCTGGACCTGGTAGTCTCCTCAGGGTTACCTCGGTGTAAGCTTGTCAAGATATAGGATTGCCTGATGTTGATTAAAGGAAGGAAGGAAGGAAATTATCAGAAGAACGTGTTAAGCCAGTACGACTATATTGGACTTAGAAGTGAAATAAAGACAAGGAGCTGGGTTAGGACGGAGGGAACGAATGATGCCAAATCGCTTGAACCGTCGGGGATCGAACGCCGGGTATGCTATGGAATCCATGGAAGCAAGACAGTGGTTGTACCCATGAGTCCAAGCGGTTTAACGATGTGGATTAAAATTAAGACTAGAAACTATCAAGCTGCATAATCAAGCAACAAGGATATTAAGAGAACCACGGATAAGGCCAACATTCTTAGGACAACCGATAAACATTATTGAGTGTGGAACATGGTAAGCAGAGTAAGACCGTATTCGAGATGCAGGGAAGTGGATCGTGAAAAGCAAAGTTCAAAGGCTTCACCAAGCCTTGTGGGACCAGCCGGTCAGAAAACCTTCTTTAACAAATACGGGTACAGAAGCTGATGGAAACGGTGGATAAAACTTCAGACGGGAGTAGAGCAACTGCGGCCAACAACAACGCGAGTGTGGTGTGGTAAAGTGTGGGAGTTAAAATGTGGCTAGATGTAAGCAGTGGGCGTAATATCCAAGAGTGGCGTTGGTTCGACGTTCAATCAACGTTAAATCTATGTTGAGGGCGTTGCTTTTGGATAATGTTCCCACTGTGAATGGCGTCACCATGTTATAATTACGTGAAAGAAATTTGATGATCAGAGAAAACAAGTGGCAGGAATAAAAGTGGCTCAAGTTAGAAGACCCGAAATACTAGCACGTAAGAAATTTATTGCTGCGAGAGTTAGTCAGACCAGGTGGATGATCACACATTATGCATCAGGAGACATATCTGCGATTCTGTCTTAATATTCCTATACCTAAAGACCACTTTGGTCACCTAGTGTTACCTCGCCTGTCACTGGTAGTATTCCACCCTGAGGAGGAGAATAAAGTCGTTGGAACTATTTCCGGATCGATATGAAAATCCCCAATTGAACTTGAAGCTTACGAAGACTTATGCTTGAGCTTTGGTGGAATACTTAGTGGGGGAGGTGCGTGCGTTAGACTGCGATTTGGATAGTCTGTGATGGAAAGTGAAGAGATGAAAGATCGGTAGTATAGATAGTGAAATATGGAGAGATATCACCGCAGAGTACTGATGAGGCCTGTTAATAATGGTGTGCCAGTTCAGAAATAGAGATGCATTGCTACGACCGATGATGTTGGCAGGAAGAATCAAGTGTGAAAATATCCCTTCATGAGAGTGTAAGCGACAGAGAGGAGGTGAGCACTGGTCAGGTCAAGAGTGGTGAGGGGCAAGTGAGTCGAGACAGTGGTAATTTCTGGGAACGTTGACAGCACAAAGTGATGATAGAACTTACTTAAATATCACTCGGGGGCGGCTGTAAAATGTGTTGAATTTCACGATGGGATAAATAGTAATGATCACTTGATGATGAAATATACTATTCCACTACGAAAATTTCACTAAAAAGACGAAATTTGCATATACATGACGAATGTGTTATGGACGCCTGAATTACTACATATCTAGTGCAGCTAACCATGTTTTAAGCTGTTGAAATTGTACACTTTATTCATTATGATTATTTTATGATATATATAATCTGTAGCATTCCACACTTGTAGATGTGTCTCTGGTTTAACCAAGTGACCAGAGCGATCCTGTGAGAGGCATTCTGACATGGTACAAGGGAACCCTCTCCTCAATTCCATTACTACTTACCCTCCGCAGTTAATTATGTTGGTACAGCCAACAGTTGTGCTGAATAAGGAGATAATCCGACAGATAGGGTAGATCTGTATCTTATTACAGAGCCATACAATCCCTCCCGGCGACCCCTGACCTCTAGGGTCTGCTGAACGAGGAGATATAATTAGTTTATATTATATCTCGTTCAGCAGACCCTGAAGTTCAGTGGTCACCGAAATGGATGGTATGACTCTCTGTAAGTAGACGAATACCAGGCAAAGGTGTGGGTGATCCACGTGAATGGTCCCAGCACCTCACCTCTGATGTCACTTACTGGGCGCTGTAGTGCAAGTGTGTGAGCGAACCTTGTTCATTTGAGGCAGCAGACATCCACTGATGGTCATAAGTGATGAAGAGTTGATGAGAGAAGCTGACATGGATGATGTGCAGTTAGTGAGAAAGAAAGTGTAGCAGCTTATAAGAGTATGTGTGGCTGTGGGCACGGCAGTTTTGGATCGTAAACTGGTTTGTGGTCCGATAAGATGCTGGTCGCTGGAGTCACAGGTGTGTACACAGCCCCAGGTGTATACCCACTTGTAGGCGCTGGAGTTTTAAGTGTTACGTGTCACTGTTATACTTGATAATATAATCTTATAATAGACGTTAAGATTTGGCCCCCTTGCTGGCCCTCTTCAGTGTATTAAGAGAGTGATGGATGCAGATGAGACCTGTGCACAGTAACACAATTAGAACCAACTTTACCTTGACCTAAATGTAACCTCTTAAGATTCTGACACCGATTATAGCCGTTAATCTTGAGAATAAAGATCAGGCTAGGATAGCGACCTTTGTATAATTTTCTGAGGGGGTTTCCCTGGTTTCATGTATATATATTTAACCTGTTGAAAGCTACGATAATCTTGGGAGGAATCCAAATGAGGCTGAAACTACCTGGTAGATGTGAAACATGTTTGTTCAATAATCAAATAAATCCTAATATAACTAGCCTCTTAAATAAGGGTTACAGAATGTATGACTCAGCGTGTTATTTGTTGGGAATACTCTTCCTGTAACTTAGTGTGTTAAGGAGCTTCTAGACTGGAACGGTGTCATGTGTGTGTATAAAGAAATACACAAGTCCGAAATATCAGGCGACACATCTGTGCCAAGTACGACGAGATCACCATAGCCCGTGCTGCTTGAAACTGCTTGTTCCCAGGAGCTGAATCTAGAACAACAACAAACAACATCCGAATTAATTTAATATACTAGGACCTCCGCACGCACGCACGCACGCACGCACACACACACACACACACACACAGGTCCTCGCCGCAGAGCGGGCAACACTCATAAGGCGTTATCCAAAGGGGTCCGGGTTCGATTCCCGGGAGAAACAAATTGGCAGAGTTTCTTTCACCTGATCCCTCTGTTCACGTAGCAATAAATAGATACCTATGAATTATCTGCTGCATGTAAAACACCACAGAGGACAAGGTGGAGGGGAAGAGTGTTAGCGTTGTCATCATACACGTAACTTGGTGTGTTACGAAGACTATGCTGCACCACGAGGACTGTCAATACTTGCTGGTGCTTTCACGTAAATATTCAAGACCTATAAACTCAAATCTGTCACCGCGGCATCCACTGACTACTGACACACACCGAACTACTCTCAAGTCTACAGAGACCGAGCGACTCCTTAAGAGTGTTGGAAAAAAGCCATAAATGTTTTTCCTTCATAGTCATTGAATATATCTATGAAAATACTATTATTTATTAGCAATTGTTATTGGTTCTTCATTAGTAATATGTAAATCAAATGAAAAATGAATATAGAAGGACAAGCACAGGAAGTGTATTCCATGCAGGTGTGTTGAGAGGAGAGATGGTGACTTTATCCAGAGAACCTGGAAATGTGGTCCTGTATTTTTAGTGGTCGTTCTTGGCGGCGAATGTGGAGTAAACCGACCGTTTTCTCTTGGGTTTACTGAGGGTAGGACGTACTGGGCGTAAGCTGTCAGTTCAATAGCCAGCTTACACCTAGGTACGGCTGTCATAGAAGTACATCGTACGGTATGACATGACTTCAAAAGAGGAGGTGTAGCAGGTGTGTAGTACTGGGCAGCATGCCGGTGTGCCGGAGCGGTGGTGGTGTGCCGGGGATCACGAGCTCACCCTCACCCACCACACTCCTGCAATTATAACTTCCGACGAAGGAGTTACCGCTGAATTAGGCTCGTCACAGATCGTGTGAGAGAGATAACACCTCATTACTGTCTCACACGACCTCTCAATTGTATTGTGAACCTGGGAAGCTTAGTGCATTGTGTACCAGGAAAATGTGCACAATACACAAAGCTTAGTGTATTGTGAACCTGTTATTCTTAAGCAAGTAAATAATTTCTATTGGATGCAATTAATGTTGGAACTGATGTTGATGTTTACATTCACTATAACACATAGTGAATGTAAACATATTTACACTCTTTGTGCCGTGAAGAGAGAGAGAGAGAGAGAGAGAGAGAGAGAGAGAGAGAGAGAGAGAGAGAGAGAGAGAGAGAGAGAGAGAGAGAGAGAGAGAGAGAGAGAGAGAGACGGGTGGTGGTGGGTAGAAATCCAATTAATTAGCTGCCAGAGAACACTGGGTTAGGCTTGCCTAGAGGGGGCTGGTATTGCACCGAGAGTTCAGCTTGAGCGCTGTTAACATTCGCTATCAAACGGATTTCAACTGAATTGATATAAAATTTGTCAGACTTAATCATTAGGCATTCCTGAACTGACCTGGATGCGGACAGGAAGCCAGCGGCTTGTCAAAGGCCACCCTAGTATTTCTGAGGATTTTGTTCCTTCATATTTATGATTGGGGAATTTGAAAACAAAATAGATCTTAGTATATCTGTGTTCGAATATACTAAATAGGTTTGATCGTTTAAATATGTGTTCGAATATATTAAAGAGGTTTGAGTGCTGTAAACATGTGTTATAGCATTACAGGTGTTTACGTCAGCTGCTCACCTGGGGCTCAGCACTCACGCACAGGTAAAGAAGCCTGCCTCTCTGTCAACAACAGACTGACAAACCAATTAATTTGGCGAGAGCTTCGGACACACTGATAAATGTGGTTTTTCCTTGCACACTCACAGGGGAAATAATTAGTATTTCCTGCTAGCTAGCAGCCGCCTCCCTGAACTCCCTCCCCGCGTTCACACAAGGTAAAGGTGATGAGAACTCCGGCTTAACGGTTATGAGACTTTACCGCTTTCACACAAGGTAACAATTATGAGAACTCCCCCCCCCCCGCGTTTTCAGAAGGGTTAAAAGCTCCCTCTGGCAACTGATATGCAGTTCTCCACCTAGAAGATTAGACATTGTCGAAGCACTGCATATCAAACGCACATGTAACTATCGAGAGCCAGCCGACACTTGCACATACCATTCCATCCTCAAGACCATGGCAGAATATTCAGGTCACATCTAACCAACTGGCCGACCCATCAACAACTTGGTTACACCTAACATCACCTCCTGCTACTTGGTGATATATACTTCATCTTCATCTAACGTGTATGAACTTCCTCTCGGCCTTCGATGTGTTGAGAGCATCAACGATACGCATCATTTTGCATTAGACTAAGTTATAAAATTAACTTCTGAAGAGTTAATTTTTCAGCTTCCTTTCGTGGTGAAGAATATTTATATTGATAAAATTGAATATCTGTTAGAGGCCAGACACTAGGGACTAGCCTCAGCTAATTTGTCAGTGATTGCTGTTGGGTACGTGCGCAATATGGGCACGTACCCAATAACGAGGTTTTTGATCCAAACCGTGTCGAGGTTTTGATTATTGACACCACGTGAGCCAAAGTTAACTCCACGAAGAACCTTGTTATTTACATTCTGATTCGATTCTCCTTTGTTTTTCTTACTATATCGTAAAACATGCGCATTACTTTGAGGGAAATTATGTGTCACTATATGGATTGTGTCCACATGTGTCACACTGCGATCTATATACCCATATGCAGTATTGTTTATAGAAGATATTTATATTTGTATTGTTCTTGTTTCATCAGAAACAACTTATTTCATGTGTCTGGTTATCAATTCAAGTTACTAGTACTTGTTGGTTTCCGTTTATTTTTAGATCTTCAGTTGCTCGTGACTGACAATCAATGGTCTTACAGCTTTTTAATTCACAGTTTGTCTTGAAATGGGCTGTAGTCGCATGTAGGAGGAAAAGTCTGAGTATATATGTAACCAAACTTATAAGTTGGTGTTTTGAACCCTTGCACACTGCTTCTACTCTGTGTGTTGATAAGAGTAACAGGGTGATTAGTTCATGTGTTAGGGTAAGTAGCGTTAGATAAGTTATACAAACTTTACAAGTCACAGTACTAGGCATAGGCTCAACCTCCCAGCTTCCTCTCCCACGAGGCTCTACTCTCCTCTCCCTGGTAGACTAGCTTCCTCTCCCACGAGGCTCTACTCTCCTCTCCCTGGTAGACTAGCTTCCTCTCCCACGAGGCTCTACTCTCCTCTCCCTGGTAGACTAGCTTCCTCTCCCACGAGGCTCTACTCTCCTCTCCCTGGTAGACTAGCTTCCTCTCCCACGAGGCTCTACTCTCCCATCACCGGTAATCTATCTACAGCACTGTTTTACATGAACTCAGTTGCTTGCCACTGTCTCTTGTTATCATGTTTGGGGAACACGAAGCCGGGGTCTTAAGAAAGCTCCATTCATTCTTCAAGGTGTTCGGTCTTCCTAAATGAGTGTCGTTCTTTATGAAGGCATGGGTTTATGAAGGCATGGGTTTATGAAGGCCTGGGTTTATGAAGGCATGGGTTTATGAAGGCATGGGTTTATGAAGGCCTGGGTTTATGAAGGCATGGGTTTATGAAGGCCTGGGTTTATGAAGGCCTGGGTTTATGAAGGCATGGGTTTATGAAGGCATGGGTTTACGAAGGCCTGGGTTTATGAAGGCATGGGTTTATGAAGGCATGGGTTTATGAAGGCATGGGTTTAATGTTGATTTAATAGGGTTGAACAGAGTGACTGAGTATTTTATTTGAACCGGGAACTGTGTGACTGTCAACGAGCATTTCACTCATTGGCAAAAGTTTTTCGGTTATACAGTATCTCAGAAGTAAGAAGTTAACACTACAGTTTACTGTATCGTTTGATAGTATATTTTTTTCCAACTTAACTGTTAACCCAGCCTCTCTAGTGGCATGTGGCTAAGTGGAAACCGAACAAATCGTGCGCAGCGAAGTTTTCTCATACACTGGTCGAATACTGTATACACAGTCGCGTTATCAACGCTGACTCTCTGAAATAGATTACTAGACGGCCATTATGAAGACTTGAAACTCGTAAGTCCTGGTGGTGACCCGTCAGCTCAAAATATTTCAACCTTGAGGTTGTTGTTGTTTTAGATTTAGCTACTCGAAACGAAATGTCCATGTAGCACGGACTATGGTGAGCCCGTAATTGAGTTCAAACTCATCCTTGAGGCCAAAGCAATTATTATATCTACTTACAGCAGGGTTCAGGTGCGGGAGGTGAGAGGTGAGGGGGAGGGAGACAAGACTACACAAGGCAGCACACACCTGGTTCACGGCGTCACTGGAAACCGATTTGAAATGTGTGATAATATACATTTATAACCTAATAAATCACATTTTATAGTTTCAGATAATGTAAATACTTAAATACCTTTGACTTAAATACATAGCCAAACAAGTAGAATCATGACTGGAGTATTAGTTGGTCGACGCGCCAGCAGACCGATGGATTGTATACAACTATAATGATGTATATACAACTTTGTATATACACCAGACCTGGTATGTTGCAGAGTGAACATCACGTCATCATAAACATGTGTTGCAGGTCACCGACGGTCGCCCAAGTCGCCCAGATCGCCCAAGTCGCCCAGGAGCGTGAAGAGCAGCTCGCCCATCAGTCCGCGGGGCCCTCACTGCCACTGTCACTGTTCCAAAGTTCCCAGACAGGTCAGTACACGCCACTAACAGTCCTCTCACGAGGCTACTTTCCCCCAGTCAATTAAGCCCCAAAAAATGCCAATTCGGAAAAAATCCCAGAAAGCTGGAACATTTCTTGAACCCTTTATTATACGAGGCATAATTCTACGCTAGCCTGACCACTTGGGCTGGACGGGAGAGCAACGGCCTCGCTTCTTGCAGGTCGGCGCTCAATCCCCGACCGTCCAAGTGGTAGGGAACCATTCCTTTCGTCCGTCCTGTCCTAAATCCCTGTACTCATATTCCTTTAAAGTGCTATATATTCGTAACGTCTTGGTGCTTCCTCCCGCAAGTTACCTTACATTACCTTATTCTACGCTAAGTGAGCCTCAAGAGAAGTAAGCTTCGGCCGCCATCTTGGGAAAATGGCGCCGAAAATGTTTTGTCAAATATCTCGTTTCGTATCAGATTTAGCTAAATAGGTAACGAATGGTCCTTAGGAAGCTCTATGTACGTTTACGGTTTCCGAAAAAAGGATCTGAATATAATTATCATCACTTTAACATAAAATAGACTTTTGGTACATTAAAATAGTGTTAATGTGCTTGCTTTGTTTGAATAAGTACTCTGTATATGGTTATAAGAAAGTGTGTAATGGTAAGCCGATAATATTAGTAAGTCAGCGAGTGTTTCTGTCGTCCAGGACTGGCCAGAAGTGTGGCTGTATTACTCATGTGTTACAACAAATAATAATACTTTGGTTATAGTTATATTTCTCTAACTGAAGAATATTTTTGTATCACTTGAAATCGATTTGGATTTGTGCTTCACTTGTCAAGAGTCTGTCAAATAATACTATTACTGAAGTTAAAGAAAGAAGACTAAAGACATTAAGAGAAGTGAAAAAAAAGAGGTGACACTTAAATAACTTGAGTGACTAACAAGTGTTTCTATGCAGGTAATATGTTAACACTCGTATGCGAGGGAACAAAATATTATTGTAGCACTTGAAGCATGAGGAAAACATTCCTGCTTAAAAAACAGTGTTCGGAGGTCGAGCGACAATTGGCAGGCCATCACAGGCATTACAATTTAAGTCTCCAATGAACTAACTCATAACAATGTAGGGACAGTGTGGTCATCCAAAGGTATTGGACACTTTCCTTTTTTTTAATTGTCTAATTTACTCGATTATTCTTACATTTCTTATTCTCTTTCCTTCTGTTTTCCTTGCCCACAAAGTTCCATGGTCACCCAGACGCCAAACCTATATGCAAGATTATAGAACATAACAGTTGTGTGCATATTGAGCCCCTCACATATCTAAGGTGAGAGAGACAGTACCGAGCCAGTACGACTATATACCACCTGCCAGAGACCTCGGGACACGGATTTAGTCACAAAGAATTGCGTAGATATTTTCCAGCTTTTCACATGTCAAAATAATGACTGGCACACACAGGTAGGTAAACAAAAACAGTAAAGCAAAGGAACAGTAAAACGGAAATAAACTAGAAAAGCGCAAACTGTTAATAACGATATGAATAAGCAAATTAGGAAAACAATAATTAAGAGGAATTTTCATCACATATCTCCCCAGTTGAGGAGACACAAGCCGGCCGTCACGCGCACATATACCAGAATAGCTGCAAAATTGCAAATAGTTATTTTTCAAAGGTCAAGAGTCATCCCGCAGGGATTAGTGACTGTGAGGATGGAGGTGGTTGTGTTGGGCCACACCCGGTGTGTACACCAGGGGCCACACCCTGTGTGTACACCAGGGCCACACCCAGTGTGTACACCAGGGGCCACACCCAGTGTGTACACCAGGGCCACACCCAGTGTGTACACCAGGGGCCACACCCAGTGTGTACACCAGGGGCCACACCCGGTGTGTACACCAGGGGCCACACCCGGTGTGTACACCAGGGGCCACACCCGGTGTGTACACCAGGGGCCACACCCGGTGTGTACACCAGGGCCACACCCATTGTGTACACCAGGGGCCACACCCAGTGTGTACACCAGGGGCCACACCCAGTGTGTACACCAGGGCCACCTTTGAACTCATAGTTCACCCAAAGTATGTACCTCTTACCCAGCCAGAGAGAATCCCGGACCTCGGTCCATCCTGTTGACTACAAGTGTGTGTACAAGAATGAATGAGACATCATGTACATCCCTCATCCTTATGACTGTCGAGGCCAACATCAGTTGACATACTAACCCATATCATTTGTTGGTGCTGCAGGACGACCAGGGGTCGTCGACCGCGTCTTCGCCCAGCCCCCGCAGGAAGCGGCCGCCCTACAGCCACATCCTGCTGAGTGACCGCAAGCCCTCCGCTGGCAACCTCCTGGCCACCACCTTCGGCATCGTCGACCGTGACGCCCTCACGCAGTCCCTGCCTCTCATCCACGAGAAGGAGAAGGTGTGTGTGTGTGTGTGTGTGTGTGTGTGTGTGTGTGTGTGTGTGTGTGTGTGTGTGTACTCAGGTCTCTCCTAGCTTTAATGTCTTCCTCTTGTCACCTGCTCGTGTTCTCTTCCTGTAAAATACAGAAGAGGTTCAACATTTCAACCACTGACCAACCACTGATCATTAGTCACCTCTCACTTGGTCCCAGCTCTCAGTTTACCCACCACTCCAACAATCCTGCTGAATATCCTTCTGCTTCCAGAAGGATATCTGTCTGGATAACCCCAGGCGCGCATCTGGGGTCACTCAGAATGCTGGTTCCCGTGTCCTGCCCCAATGATTTTCTTATATATATATATATATATATATATATATATATATATATATATATATATATATATATATATATATATATATATATATATATATATATAACGTTTGATTATCTTGTGTATCATCTACTTGCACCCCGTTATACGCTCGGCCTAGCGCCATACCCTGTCACGCTCTGACCTACGCGCTAGGCACAGTCCGTAGAGGGAGGGAGGAAGGAGGTGCGCCGTTGTTGATCCTGAGAACACTGTGGTAGGTGGCCCAGACACTTGACACCACTTCGTCTGGCACACTTCGTCAGTGTCTGGAGCCCCAGGCACTTGGCACCACTTCGTCTGGCACACTTCGTCAGTGTCTGGAGCCCCAGGCACTTGGCACCACTTCGTCTGGCACACTTCGTCAGTGTCTGGAGCCCCAGGCACTTAGCACCACTTCGTCTGGCACACTTCGTCAGACTATGGAGCCAGTGGCTGAACTACAGCCACTTTGAGTATTAAGTTCAGGTGTACTTCAGTAAGTGGAAAATGAAAATCAAGATTTGTTACTGTTCATTACATGAAAGAGCTGTTCACTTACATATGTGCTCAGAAACATAGATATATTCTTTGGGGCAAAACAGTTGATCCTGGGATATTGTAGTCCCAGATATTGATCCCAGCCCACAACACCACCATGTTTCTCTTCAACAGAATCATAATGTAAGACAATTATTTCTAACTGAAGAAATTTTGGAGACTCCATTAACAACGCGGGTAAGAATGACTCCCAAAATATGGAAAAAAAATTCTAGGAGTATAGAAACCCGTACTACTTTCGGGAAACTAATTCCATAACGTAAACATTTTGCATGAAGGGATTTCAAGGCTGAAAAGTGTAAAAAGTTACTCTGCAAGTTGCCTTTCAAAAATCTGCAATTTCATTACCAAGGTAAAATTCAGCGATAAAACCCTCTCACTAATCTATTGAGTCTGTGAATCTTTGAGTTCAGATTCTTTCACATTTGTAGGCTTAGCGCGGCCCGAGCACGCACCAGGAAGTGATGACAAATAACCTTACAATAACCTGTCCTTAACCCACTCAGCCACGGTACCTCCTATCGTGGCTCAGTGGGTTCAGACAGGTGCTTGCAACTCACCAGAACGCCCGTTACCTCGTTGTCCTACAATGATTTTCTCATTGATACATCAAACCATTGTGATTTCGTTGTGATTATATATATATATATATATATATATATATATATATATATATATATATATATATATATATATATAAATTTATGAGTTGATAATATGAGGAAATAAAGCAGAAGGAGAAATAGGAAATGGAAAGGAACAGAAAGCACGAAAAAAGAGCAGGAGACAAAGTTAAATGAATTTATATAGATAGATGGTGGTAAGAGGAGAGAGGCGGGACAGAGAGTGAGGGTACAGAGAGAGAGAGAGAGAGAGAGAGAGAGAGAGAGAGAGAGAGAGAGAGAGAGAGAGAGAGAGAGAGAGAGAGAGAGAGAGAGAGGGAGGGGGGAGAGAATGGGGAGAAAGATTATAAAGATTATTGTTGGCTCACACAACTGCTCGACGGCATGAAATGACACCTTGTTAGTGAAGGTGGAAGTTCCTTCTCCGTCTCCCTCCAGTGTTGACACACTTGTCCCTCACTTGTGACACACCTGTCTCTCACATGTGACACACCTGTCCTCCGCTAGTGACACACCTGTCCTCCACTCCCCTTGCATGTCTCTAAACGCCCCGTACCTTTAAGCTCTCCCCTGCCTAAAGTTCCACCTGGTTCTAAGCGTAATCCCAGGTATCAGGAGGTGTTAGCGCGCACTTCGGGAAAGTGTTCAACACTCACACTAAGCCGCCTCTCCCTCTCCCTCAGTGAGCAACATTATACCATCTTGTCTCACCCACTGCTCTCTCTTACCATCAGTATGATTCTCACCGGCACCAACTCTAAGCTTATATCTATCGCCCTCCCTCCACTCTAAGACCCATCTCTGCCACCCACCACCCCTCAGTAAGACCCATCTCTGCCACCCACCACCCCTCAGTAAGACCCATCTCTGCCACCCACCACCCCACAGTAAGACCCATCTCTGCCACCCACCACCCCTCAGTAAGACCCATCTCTGCCACCCACCACCCCTCAGTAAGACCCATCTCTGCCACCCACCACCCCACAGTAAGACCCATCTCTGCCACCCACCACCCCACAGTAAGACCCATCTCTGCCACCCACCACCCCACAGTAAGACCCATCTCTGCCACCCACCACCCCACAGTAAGACCCATCTCTGCCACCCACCACCCCACAGTAAGACCCATCTCTGCCACCCACCACCCCACAGTAAGACCCATCTCTGCCACCCACCACCCCACAGTAAGACCCATCTCTGCCACCCACCACCCCACAGTAAGACCCATCTCTGCCACCCACCACCCCACAGTAAGACCCATCTCTGCCACCCACCACCCCACAGTAAGACCCATCTCTGCCACCCACCACCCCACAGTAAGACCCATCTCTGCCACCCACCACCCCACAGTAAGACCCATCTCTGCCACCCACCACCCCACAGTAAAACTTATCTCTGCTGCCTACGCCCACAGTCGTGTCTCGAAGCACCACCCAAAAGAGGCTACGCCCACAGGGGTCGTCGCCGGGGAAGACGACGCAGGAGTGACCTGCGTCACAACGCCCACAGCAGGCACCGGCGTCCAGGCCGCCAGGCTGTAATTAATCCTCGCTTATAAGCTTGGAACACAACAAAATGTGTTGGTTCGATGGCCTTCATGGAGGAGGTCGTTGTAGTCAGGTAACAATGGCCCCTGTGGGCTTAGATCACAAGGGCAGAAGTCCCCTATGCCCGATCTCTGAGCTCAGAACGCGCCGATCTCACCCCTACCGTAGTAGGTCATAAGGGTGCTGTTTATTATAAACACGGGGTGGTTGTATAGGCATTGAATTATCAGTGTATTCAATATTGGCTCGCAAGTACCTGCTACACAAGCGTGGTTTTCCTCTCTCGCTGCTGGTGCGCCGTAACTGAAAGGTCATGACGCAGATGTGACGCAATTCAAGAGGTCATGACGCAGATGTGACGCAGGTCAAGAGGTCGTGACATAGGTGCGACCTTTGAGGTGACTGTAGCCTTGTACCCCCAGGGGTTGACCTGACCTCCTCACCCCATTAACGGCCAAGAATAATAATTTTCTTTCCAGACAGGAAAGTTGTGGTAGAACTTGATCTGGAAAATTTGGCCTCTACTATACTTGTCTTCTCGAAGTTACCCCTGTTTAGATGTCTGCTGGGGCACCATCCCGGTGTGTGCTGGGGCACCATCCAGGTGTGTGCTGGGGCACCATCCAGGTGTGTGCTGGGGCACCATCCAGGTGTCTGCTGGGGCACCATCCAGGTGTGTGCTGGGGCACCATCCAGGTGTGTGCTGGGGCACCATCCAGGTGTGTGCTGGGGCACCATCCAGGTGTCTGCTGGGGCACCATCCAGGTGTGTGCTGGGGCACCATCCAGGTGTGTGCTGGGGCACCATCCAGGTGTGTGCTGGGGCACCATCCAGGTGTCTGCTGGGGCACCATCCAGGTGTGTGCTGGGGCACCATCCAGGTGTGTGCTGGGGCACCATCCAGGTGTGTGCTGGGGCACCATCCAGGTGTGTGCTGGGGCACCATCCAGGTGTCTGCTGGGGCACCATCCAGGTGTCTGCTGGGGCACCATCCAGGTGTCTGCTGGGGCACCATCCAGGTGTGTGCTGGGGCACCATCCAGGTGTCTGCCGGGACACCATCCAGGTGTCTGCCGGGACACCATCCAGGTGTCTGCCGGGGCACCATCCAGGTGTCTGCCGGGACACCATCCAGGTGTCTGCCGGGGCACCATCCAGGTGTCTGCCGGGGCACCATCCAGGTGTCTGCTGGGGCACCATCCAGGTGTCTGCTGGGGCACCATCCAGGTGTCTGCTGGGACACCATCCAGGTGTCTGCTGGGACACCATCCAGGTGTTTGTTGGGGCACCATCCAGGTGTCTGCTGGGGCACCATCCAGGTGTCTGCTGGGGCATCATCCAGGTGTCTGCTGGGGCACCATCCAGGTGTCTGCTGGGGCACCATCCAGGTGTCTGCTGGGGCACCATCCAGGTGTCTGCTGGGGCACCATCCAGGTGTCTGCTGGGGCACCATCCAGGTGTCTGCTGGGGCACCATCCAGGTGTCTGCTGGGGCACCATCCAGGTGTCTGCTGGGGCACCATCCAGGTGTCTCTCTCCTGAGATAAGTAATGGAGTACAATTCCCCCCCCCCCACCTGCTACACACACACACACCACCAGACTAATACCCGAGCTGAGAGGTATGAGCTACGAGGAGAGACTACGAGAATTAAACCTCACTTCGTTGGAAGACAGAAGAGTTAGGGGGGACATGATCACCACATTCAAGATTCTCAAGGGAATCGACAGGGTTGATAAAGACAGTCTGTTTAACACAAGGGGCACACGCACAAGGGGACACAGGTGGAGTGCCCAAATGAGCCACAGAGATATTAGAAAGAACTTTTTTTAGTGTCAGAGTGGTTGACAAATGGAATGCATTAGGAAGTGATGTGGTGGAGGCTGACTCCATACACAGTTTCAAGTGTAGATATGATAGAGCCCAATAGGCTCAGGAACCTGTACACCAGTTGATTGACGGTTGAGAGGCGGGACCAGAGAGCCAGAGCTCAACCCCCGCAAGCACAACTAGGCGAGTACACACACACACACACTCTCTATATTATAAATATACAAAATGTCTCGAAAGTTTTATGACAAGGAAAATCTTCCCTTGTATCCTATCAAAGACCGTATGACAGATACTGAAGTAAGATCGGGACGTACGATCTAATACCCAATGCCCGAGAGACCATTTTTCTCTGCTTTCTCATTATTCGAATTTAATGGTCGCAAGCCAATATAGTCATTAACTTCCTTTGTCGTTAGGGGTATTTTTGTTCACTATTCTTCTTCTTTCCTGAGGAGTTAATATTGCCGCAGGATTAAAAGTTTGTGTTGCTTCTGGTAGTAATGAAGGCAGGTGAGGATGGGGGAAGCCTGGCGGAGACATTACGGGCGGCGGGACTACAATGAAATACATGAAAAACTACAATTTTTGCGTGAAATACAACGGGAAAGAGAAGAGCATAATTAAACAAGTAGAAAATGTGACCGAGATTTGGGGAGTAGGACCAGACAAAACCTTTGCTGAAGCAGCAAAAAGTTCAGAGAGAAGGACGATAATTAATTCAACAGTGTTAGAGGCTGTAAAAAAGGAGTTTTACAGTCTTAGTAAGAGTTTGAGATAAGATATTACTCAAAAACCCTCTGCACCAGAAGAGTGCAGTTAATACCCGGACCCAAAAACCCATGCACCGCCAACGTGGAGATTTGGCTCTAAGCCAAGGCAGTCACGTTACTGCTGTCAGAGCAACTTCTGGTTCTGAGTGGGTTTGGCCTGGAACTGACTCTAAGCACTCGAACTGTATGCCATGGAGGGAAGACCAGAACTCTCCTAATATACACACAAAAACTAGAACTGGTTCCAAACTTGCACCAAAATAATGACAACATGCTGAAATAAGAGATGTGGTAGGAAGTGTAAACATCTTCAATGACAAGCTGGGGTGCCATAAGCACCAATGACAAGCTGGGGTGCCATAAGCACCAATGACAAGCTGGGGTGCCATAAGTACAATAAGTGAAGACAGTGTACACATCAGAGGCGCGCCATTCCTAAGTCTCCTGCCAACACTATACAAAATGCCGCTGGAACAACAGTGGAAGCTTTCCAGAGGGAACTGGACAAGTTCTGCTGGAGTTACCGGATCAGCCAGGCTGTGATGGCTAGGTAAGCCTGTGGGCTATGAAGACATACAACCTCATAGACCAGGATTCATTAGGCATTTCCACATGCAAGTACGAAACCTGTACATTTTTCCGCAATCATGGAAGCTTTGTTAACTTTTTATAAACAAAGTTTGAGTTCCGAAGCACTACGAGGTCGTTTATAACAATTACCTTGGGTTGTGAAGTTCCAAAGCTCGTAAACTGCTTAATATTCGTATATAAAGCCGTCATGATTATTAAAAGGTGTTGAGGTTTGGTAAATGGATGCGTATATGCTTGATGAATCCTGATCCAGGCCATCGCCAGTTGAGGCTGACAGCAGTCCAGACCGCGGGAGAACCATGGAAGACGACCTATAGAAATCACCACCAGCAGCTAAACAAATTTATACAAAAAAATCTGTCCGGCTTGACAACCAAACCCATCGCTTCAACAATTCAAACATTTTATTAATTAATGGGTAATTACCCAAATGTTATCGAACACAACTCCAGCAGACCCCCCCTGCTACTGCAGCTGTACACTAGCTGCACGGCTAACTTGTAACAACCACAGTAAATCATCGCCGAAGTGCACACGAAAAATAACTATATCAACAACACAATAATAATTATTATTATTATTAATATAATTCATGATAATTAAGGAAGAGGACTGTGGCGCCCCTCGACGCCACCGTCGTCGCCATGACAACCATGTTTATCTTGCCGTCCCGGGCGGAAGAATATAATGTTCTTGCCTGCCAGGATCAACACGAGGCGGCGTGGTGGTGGGCGTGCAGCACGTGTGGTAAACATCGCGGCTGGCAGCCTCCTAACTACACCTTGAGAAGTTTCTACACTGGTCACCCTCGGCTCTCTCACACTCAGTCGTTTATACAGCTTCGTTATAAAGTGATTTTATTGGTGTGGGAGGGTGGGGGGAAGGAGGAGATCCTCGTGAGCACCCTTGCTGCCCACCATCTATGCTGCCCACCACAGACTGATACAGACACACAGAAAGACAAAGTGAGAGGAAAGAAAGAGGTAGAAATGGAGAGGTAGAGATAGAGAAATAGGTAGAGATGGAGAGAGAGAGGGAAGAGATGAGAGAGAGATAAGCACAATAAAACACTAATCTAAACAAAATGTCAATAAACACTGAGGGAAACCGACTCTGTCTAAGCGCTTTCGAAACGATAAAAAAGTGGGCTGTCCAGTGTCCCCACGTAGACCACTACCCGCAGTTAACACCTGTCCCAAGGCATAACACTCACGACTTTTCCTGTCAGATTTTCAAGAAATATTTGTTATATTGAGTTATGAGTGCTTGAAGTATGACCTCTGGTACATCTGCTTCAATTATGGATTATTGTTGCTTCTAAAAACAACAGAGCACCAAGGTTGACTGTTCTTACTCGGTGACATCAGGGCAACATATGTTAAATCCCGGGAAGTTTCGCAGACAGATGACCTTATAGGTCTCCTCCCATTGATGTCACCTAAGTCACGTGACTTGCAGACCATAGTCATCAGACATATCGCAGACATACCGGGCGCCATCTTTTTTGACTAAAATAATTATGCATTTTTACATAATTAAAAAACACATCCGGCAGTCATGCATACTGGTTGTGGACGAGCCGACTCTCAAAGAAGACAGAGAAGTGTTATGGACTGTGGCAGCGTAACAAGTGTTTCTCATAGTTTTATGCCAAGAGTTGAACTTGTCCAGCTAAGTTACCAGAGGGTAACAGCCCTGGTATCTGTGCTGGGGTTCAGGCCTTAGACTCTCTAAACGAATAGGGGCTTTAGGCATTGTATGTACTAGCTCTATCTATAAATCTATCAATTTTTGTATAACCTCTTGTATGTATGTACTTTACCTGAATAAACATTTAAATTTGAATTTTGACTAGATACTGAAAATGTCAAAATTTTCGTCGCTTATTTTTCACTGCAACATGATCCGCCCTAATCGTTTTATATCCAAGTCCTCAACTGCTGCCAAGTACACGGCTGAGCATTTGGTCGTGAGGTTCTCTGAAACTTTATGATTGTTAGTGGCTTTGTAACAAAGTAATTCCATAGTAACACTTACCCATAATATGAGCAAGTGTTAATGGATGGGGTTTGCAAGAAAGCGACACTGCTGTCCATGGATTACCCAGACGGAAATTCTGTATGTTGAATTCTTGAATGTTCCATGCAAAGCTCTTTCAAAGTTTGCTTATGAGTGTTGCTTGTTCTTGTGGGCCTTCCATGTGGGAAGACTGGCCGCTCTCTCTTTAGTTTGCTGATCCCAGTACACAGCAGAAACTGGTGACCTGGAAGTATAACTACGGGTTGATAGTGTACTAGGAAAAAAGTTTAATTTACCGGTTCCAATATCTGCCCCTAGGTCTAAATCCCACTGTTGTATCCTTGTCTGGTAAAACCAGATTCTCAGTTCGGTAACTTTGTATTCCAGTCGAGTATCTGCTCTTCAACCAGTTCCTCTAAATGTAATTCAATTAGGATGGAATAGTTATTGAATTAAATTTAGAGGAACTGGTTAAAGAGCAGATACACGGACTAGGCTTGGTAAGTGAGCCCGTCCAGACCAAGTTCCCAACCACTTGGGCTGGACGGTAGGGCTCACCATAGCCTTGCTGCTTTAAACTTTTTGTTCCCAATAGCTGAATCTAAAACAACAAGAAGGGAGAGCGGCGGTCTCGCTTCATGAAGGTCGGCGTTCAATCCCCGACCGTCCAAGTGGTTGGACACCATTCCCCTCCCCCCCTCTCGTCCCATCCCAAATCCTTATCCTGACCCCCTTCCAAGTGCTATATAGTCGTAATGGCTTGGCGCTTTCTTCTGATAGTTCCCTTCAATTCTAACTAAATTTTTGTATCAAAATGTTATGCCGTGTTTAGATGTATTCAGTGGAACTTTGCCTTTATATCATCCCGAGAACACGTGTTGGAAGGCCGTACACAAGAGGCTCCTCTTTTGTCTTCAAACGGGACTTTCCTCTTCTTCAATAACAACACACTAATGATCTTCCTTTTTCTGGTAGAACACCCCGTGTAGTTTCATCAGGGCGTCGAGAACTGACCTTCACTACGCCATGCTTGTCTCTTCAAGACCCCACAGATGCTAACTTTTCTCAGATCCAGGTTAGAAGTCCTCCTAAAGCTCTCAAATGACCTTTATTTGTCTTCCTACAGGAGCATGCGAGGCTGGTCGTGGAGCGACCAGAGATCAGGGACCCACAGGCGGGATTCGAGGCGCTGGGTGGACGATGCGAGTCGTGCAGCACCTGCACCGACAGCTGCCTCAGGAAGCTGGGCCTTGAGCACGAGGACGGGTCACGCTCGCCCTCCAGTATCTCACCCAAGGCAGAGAAGATGTACTCCTTCTTCGAGAAGAGCCTGTCGCTGGTGAGCTCCTCACCAACGCGCTTCGGGGACCACCTTGCTCCTCGGGAGAAGCGTAGCCACTCCCTGGCCACGCCGACCGCCATGGCAAACGTGGTGCACTTTCAGGAGTTACACAGCCGTCACGCCGAGAACCATCTTCTCAGGACGGTCAATTTGGCCGCGTCCAATGCCGTTCTCTCTCGGATATCCGCGCGTCTGAGAGCAGTGACGTCCGCGACGCAGCAGGAGTCGGTGGAAGAGGTTGATGAAGAGGTCGAGAAGCTTGCTGCGCAGAATCCCGACTTTATCGACTCCATTTTAGGAGAGACCAACGCGTACGACGCTAACCTGGCTGAGGGGGAAGGAATGTCCCTGATACCAGACGGAGCTGAGACGATTCCAGCTACTCTGGAAGAAAATAGCAGTCAATGCACCGCCGAGACAGGAGACACAGCTTCCCTCGTTGACAATGCGGAAAATAAAACATCCTTCATTACAGAAATAGTAGGAAAGAGTTCCCTAATTAATGACACGGTAGAAACGCACTTTGCTGCTGATCCAAATGACAAGTCATCATCCACTTATGATGCTGTAGAACTGTCCCATATTTCTGACGCAACAGAGACGTCCCTCACTGCCGAGGCGACAGAAACGTCCCTCACTGCCGAGGCGACAGAAACGTCCCTCACTGCCGAGGCGACAGAAACGTCCCTCACTGCCGAGGCGGCAGAAACGTCCCTCACTGCCGAGGCGACAGAAACGTCCCTCACTGCCGAGGCGACAGAGACGTCCCTCACTGCCGAGGCGGCAGAAACGTCCCTCACTGCCGAGGCGACAGAAACGTCCCTCACTGCCGAGGCGACAGAAACGTCCCTCACTGCCGAGGCGACAGAGACGTCCCTCACTGCCGAGGCGACAGAAACGTCCCTCACTGCCGAGGCGACAGAAACGTCCCTCACTGCCGAGGCGACAGAAACGTCCCTCACTGCCGAGGCGACAGAAACGTCCCTCACTGCCGAGGCGACAGAAACGCCCCTCACTGCCGAGGCGGCAGAGACGTCCCTCACTGCCGAGGAAGTTACAGCTGGAAGCATCTTGAGCATAAGTCAGAGGGTGCGGGAGTTGACGCTGCAGCTGGAGGAAGGTGGGAGTGAGAGCTTGGATCGGGCGACGAGTGGAGGTTCTCACCGCCCCGCTGAGACCATCATGATGCCCACACAGTAGTCCCTCGTCTAAGTGGCTACAGCTGGGTCAACCGAGCTCACCACTCTGTAAATATCATGACTCAACATGAACTACTTTACAACTGCGCGGGTACCAGAACATAGATATGTTGATTGTTAAATGGCTGAAGACAGTCCCAACATTATTACAAGCTTATGTTTGATGGTGTGTTGATAATTTAACGTGGTACTGGAAGTATTTATCTTCGGCACAAACCTGTAATAAGCATTGCTTCCTGGTGCAGATGCGCCGCTGAAGCATCCATGCCGTAGCCGACCCTATCACCGCCTGGCCACACAAGACACGGCTCACTTTGTTATTTGTTCATGGCAAGTGTGATCATTTGATATATAATCTATCATATATTAACATATTTTGTTCTGGATCCTATGACCAATTATGGAATATCTTACAACCAGAGCGATGTTGAAGCGAGGCTGAGAGGGAAGGTACACTTAGAGGGCAGGTACATCTGAGAGGGTGAACACACACTGAAAGGCCAGGGGTCAGAGGGGGAAGGTACATAGACTCCAGCAGTGTGTGTGTCAAGAGGGGTACTACTCACTGTCTGGGATGTGCTCTCATTTGAGAAACTCTCTCTCCTCAACTTGAGAGTTACACAAGCAAAAGTTTATCAATACAATAAATGTTAGATTTTTGTTCTAGATTATTAATCAAAATATCTCTTAAGAAATCACTATTGTAACATTTTTGTGACTGGGGGTTACTTTATACTGTGTTGGCATGTTTCATGGGCGTCTATGGCAGCGGACATGTCACCTGGAGGAGGTGTCACACACATGTCACCTGGAGGTGTCACACACATCTGTCACCTGGAGGTGTCACACACATCTGTCACCTGGAGGTGGTGTCACACACATCTGTCACCAAGGAGAGAATCGGCCGAATGATTCAGCGTGGAATCGAACACAATCCCTGCTCTATTGTTGTAAGTTGTCAAGTGTCCGGAGAGGTTCTCAGATGTCCATGGAGGTTTGCAAGTGTCCAGGGAGGTTCTAGGGTATTAGAGAAAGTTTGCTAATGTCTCAAGAGGTTCTTGGATGACCGAAAACCTCCAAATGTAATGTCAAAGAGTCCAAGATATCAGTTACATTTCTCAAATGTCAGGACCAGTATTCATCAAGAATCACTTACGAAACTTGTGCATCTTTCAGTAATCATGGCGGCTTTGATTACATTTATTAATCGAACCTTCACAACGCCCATTATAAAGCACCTCATAGTACTTGAGGGCGCGCATAAACTGTTTAATAAATGTTAACAAAGCCGCCGTCATCGAGGAGAAACAGGTTGTGTAAGATGACAAGAAAATGAAGCGGGTAGCATGATTGGGTTGTAGATGCTCCGGGTAGTAGGTGCCACACCGGCCCGTTCTCCTGATTTGCTACTCTGTAAAAATCCTACATTCTAGCCTAACTAGAAACGCACGAACCCGCCTAATCTATCGAGTCCGATGCATAGAAAACAGGAGTATTTGAGAGCTGGTACTTTTCTTAATAGGTCTTTTGCATTTGTAACTGTTACAATAACGGAAACAACGCGACCCGTTAGTGGATAGGTGGAGCTGGGCAGACAACATCGTCGGGTGCCACTTGGTCATCACATCTTCAGCCATGGCCACTCCACCTCTGCATCCTCACCTGCCATTAAGGTTCTAAAAGTGAAGGAGAAGACTGGACAGGACTTGTGAAGTACTTAAGTCTCCACTTACGAAACCTGTAGACTTTCCTCAATAATGACGGCTTAGTTTGTATTTATCAAGCAGTTGATGAGCTCCGAAGCCCTTCGAGACTGTCTATAACAATAATAACCTTTGGCTGTGAGGTTTCCAAGCTGGTAAATTTTTTAATAAGTACAGATTAAGCCGCAGTGACCGGGGAAAAGATGTGCAGGCTTCGTAAGTGGACACGTAAGTGCTTGATGAATCCTGGCCAAAATGTCTCGGGTCGCTAAGATCATCTTGTTAAGATCGGGAAATTGTTCACCTGACGCTGAAGATTTCAGATCGCCGGAAGGTAGAGGGAGGGTTCCTGTACCATTGAACCTGTGTTTACATATCCGTGAGACATGTGAACTTCCTCAGGAGGCTTGGAAGGACATGACGTCAAAGTTTACCAACTATTAAGCCTTCTACAATATCCTTTATTCTCATGTTCAATGCTTTACTTCTCTACCTTCCGCCTGACCTTCTCCCCTGCCTGTTGCCACGCCATCACGGTCTGGGATGGACTCACACCTCGTCATTCCCATTTTATTTCCTGTTCGTGGCTTGGGTGTTTGTTTCAGCCGTAACTGTATAATCTTGTGTATCGCACCATCAGTATTATCGTCAGTGTACTGCGTCAGTATTGAGAGCCCCCTACCAGGTGTGGATGGTCTCGAGGGCCCCCTACCAGGTGTGGATGGTCTCGAGGGCCCCCTACCAGGTGTGGATGGTCTCGAGGGCCCCCTACCAGGTGTGGATAGTCTCGAGGGACCCCCTACCAGGTGTGGATGACCTCGAGGGCCCCCTACCAGGTGTGGATGGTCTCGAGGGCCCCCTACCAGGTGTGGATGGTCTCGAGGGACCCCCTACCAGGTGTGGATGGTCTCGAGGGACCCCCTACCAGGTGTGGATGGTCTCGAGGGCCCCCCTACCAGGTGTGGATGGTCTCGAGGGACCCCCTACCAGGTGTGGATGGTCTCGAGGGCCCCCTACCAGGTGTGGATGGTCTCGAGGGCCCCCTACCAGGTGTGGATGGTCTCGAGGGCCCCCTACCAGGTGTGGTCGTCTAAGGGGACTCGGACGGATGATGGTCTGAGAAAATAATTTTTGTGTATGTGTAAAATGTAACAATAAACGCGTATAGAATGAATTGCAGCTAAATAACTTTCCTTAAATACTTGTCATCGCAAAAGTTCTGGGACAGAGGACAAGTGGCGTTGTCTCCAGGCGTGACAGGAGACCAGGAGCTGGTTCATGACTGGTTTTCATGTTTTGTTATTTATATTTATTACAATAAATTTCTTTGTCTACAAACATTTTTATATATTCACAGATATTTTATACGAAAATTTTACCCTCTTTCAGTTATTCACTTTCTTAGTCAAATGTCTATTTTTCCGTCCTCTTCAACTACAGCCGTTTTCTATTCCTTGTAAAAATGTACAAAATACAGTCCTTACGCTGCTGCCTCTTAAATGTCTTCGTTTATCTTACTGATCATCACTGGCAGCTGATCACAGCCCGTCGTTGTCGCATCCGGTCCCCCTCATCGTCTCATCCTGGCCCCCTTCGCCGTCTCATCCCGGCTCCCCTCACCGTCTCATCCCGGCCCCCTCACCGTCTCATCCCGGCTCCCCTCACCGTCTCATCCCGGCCCCCTCACCGTCTCATCCTGGCCCCCTCACCGTCTCATCCCGGCCCCCTCACCGTCTCATCCCGGCTCCCCTCACCGTCTCATCCCGGCCCCCTCACCGTCTCTTCCTGGCCCCATCACCGTCTCATCCCGCCCCCCTCACCGTTGCATCCCGGCCCCCTTACCGTCGCATCCCGCCCCCCTCACCGTCGCATCCCGCCCCCCTCACCGTTGCATCCCGGCCCCCTTACCGTCGCATCCCGCCCCCCTCACCGTCGCATCCCGCCCCCCTCACCGTCGCATCCCGCCCCCCTCACCGTCGCATCCCGCCCCCCTCACCGTCGCATCCCGCCCCCCTCACCGTCGCATCCCGCCCCCTCACCGTCGCATCCCGCCCCCCCCCTCACCGTCGCATCCCGCCCCCCCTCACCGTCGCATCCCGCCCCCCTCACCGTCGCATCCCGCCCCCCTCACCGTCGCATCCCGACCCCCTCACCGTCGCATCCCGCCCCCCTTCGCCGTCTCATTCCGGCCCCCCTCGTCGTCTGGTCACATCAATACTTCGCCCTGACTCCTACAGTCGTGTTTTGACAAACCATAATCAGCATTGTCCATTTATATATCGTGTTATGTAAATGATTCCCCCACCCCCCTCCAAGGCTACACAGGGCGTGTGTATCTGATTGTATGAGTCAAGATGGGCACCAGTCGCCTCACTGTTCACTGTATAATACACGGTACTAACACACAGTCTTTCATTCATACAACCTCCGCCAGACATGGGGCGTCTTGAAGCCTACTAACAGCCACAGTGGTGAGAAAAATATGAGGGGCAATAATCATATACAGATGATGGTTATAGTGATAATAACGGTGGTCATAATGACAATGAGCACGGTCGTAATGATGACTAAAACAATCTTTGTTTTTGTTTTTCTCAGTGCTTTTGAATGTTGAATTTACGGTGACCATGACAAACCTATATCAGTCCCGTACCCCCTGACCATCCACCCTGCAAACCTGGGTGAGGGTAGCCCCAAGCATCAGGCTTCCAACCTCGGACATTCTCCCTCCATCTCTTAGAGTGTAGACCGGAGGCGTACCGGGAGTGCCCGGGGTAATCTGCCTCTGCCCCACTCTCTCATTTCCCCTTCACACCCTCTCCCAGTCCTTTCCCCCACGCCATCTCTCCTCCCTCTTCTCTCCCTCCTCCTTCCCTCTCTGGCCTCCAACTTACGACAGACATTTAAATATATTTCCATTTTATATATATAATTACATGAAGGGACACCCGTCTTTCACCCTTTCCCTCTCTTATTTTTCACTCCATCTACCCCTTTGTTACATCAAATCCCTGTCCTTTGTTCACCCCCCCCCCCCTTCTTCTCTCAATAAATGTATTAATAAGAACCGAAATAACTGTGAATCAGAAAATATATTATTAGGGTCTCTAAATCTCTAGGAGGAAATACACCAAATATTTCACACTTAATTCCGTGAAAATTGCATTGTAGGACTCGATAATTGCTCATATTTCTTCCGTCCCTGACCAGCCTACGTCTGTCTTCTTCCCCCGACCATTCCCCCTGCAAAGTTGGGAGAGTCTAGCCCCAAGCATCTGGGCTCCTAGTTTGGACAGACATACAAGATAGAAACAAAAACTCATTCGTACAGATATAGATTCTGAGGGGGCGCATCTGACCTCACGATCGTCGTCGCCCTTAAATCAACAAAAACAGATTCGGAGCCAAACGCTTTTCTTATCATTATTATTATTGAAACAATTTATTTTTTTGCCCAACATTCTTGGAAATACAACTGGAGTTTATTTGTGAAAATATTTAATGAACAAAAATTCACTCAACACACCAAAAAAATATGAACATTTTCAACATCCTCCTCCAAACTCTATATAAAAAAATATCACGTTGAAAATATTATGAAAGCTTTGCCATTCGTGTTTTCCTCCGGCGCTCACAAACTCCTGTAAAAGCCCAACACTTTTACTGAACCATTTCATCCATCAAATGTTAAACATTATATAAGTATTAAATGTATTGTAGAGCAAAAATATCTAGTATATATATATATATATATATATATATATATATATATATATATATATATATATATATATACGCATCTTCACACCTGTGAACACTACCCACCGAGGGCACAATAATATATAAATTAGAGAAACTACAGAAGGACTATTGGGCCACACGTAGCAGCTCCTAATTATATCCGCCCAAACTCATTCATATGTCTAGCCTACACTTGAAACCCTCGAGGGACCCCACGTCAACCACATTACCCGGTAATCTGTGCCACAAGTTAATGTTCCGCCTCACCCCCCTGGCTGATCCCCAGCCATCACGTGTGGGGCCAGCACCAAGACACGTGACCAGCTCCGGTGAGTGCACGCGTCGCCGCCTCCAGTACGCGCCACTAAGTCTGTCCGCACTCAAGGCGGCACCATCAGCCCACGCAGGCAGCCTGCACATCTCTCAGTGGGGGGGTCCCAGGCTCCACAGAGCCAGGGGGTACCCCCAGACCCAGGGGTCCAGAGCCAGGATCCGAAGGTAAGGTAATTATCAAAAGAAGGCACCAACCCGGGAAGGCTATGTAGCACCATCAAAGTGCGAAACAATCAGAGGGCGCTAAATATCACCAAGAATGCCAATACAAGAACAAAAACGCATAAGGCGAACGATATCAAAAGTATCCGATTCGCCTAGAATTCTATCGAGGGACAGGTGACCGCGAGGGACGGTCGGAAAGCAAGACACACGCTCGTCCTGGAAGTCAGGACATTCAACAAGGATGTGCACAACTGTAAGAGGGACAACGCAATTTGGACAATAAGGAGCAGGGCGGCGCTCCATTAAGTGACCGTGGGTTAAGCGAGTATGGCCAACCCGCAGCCTTGCCAAAGCAGTTTCCCACCGCCGGTTACGGTGGCAGGAGGACGGCCACGGGGACACACTACGTTTGAGAGTACGCAGCTTGTTACTAACCACAGAGGACCAACAACCCTGCCAACGGGCAAGGATGGAGGAATGAATAACAGGATAAAAGTCGGAATAAGGAAGACCTTTACGGGAGACGCCAGGATCCGAAGAATCTTGGCGACTGTCCAAGGTCATTAAGTGACAACTACGTAAATTACGTTTATCAGACTTTTGTCGCCAATATCGACATGATTATAATACTTTACAAGTCACACTCAACCTAACAATTACACGGGTGTCAATCGTGTAATTCTTATAGAAACTACTATGTATGACAATGTCATTCCACGAATAGGGAATGAAACAAATTCCTTAAGCGCTTTCATATTTATCAATACATCTTCAGAAGGATTCTTCTGAAGATGTATTGATAAATAAGAATGTGCCTAAGGAATTTCCTGTTTCATTCCTCCTTCGAGGCCTGACATTGTCACATTGTTCATCACGTGTTAATTTCTTCATGATTTACACACACACACACGCATTTTATATATATATATATATATATATACAGCCTCTTACATTGGCCTACTGCAGTTCCCTTCATTTTTATGTAATTTATGTAATTATTTCGAGAGAAGCCAATTTTACTTTATAATCAACACAAGAAATATAAATATTATAAATCTGAGTTATTTTCTAAATTGTTTGCGATTTCAAAATAACAAGTGAATCATTTGGAAAAAAGTTAACTTAGCATTTTCAGATTTGCACAAAAATAATTACGTTTAACTATTAATATTGACTGCGACTTGAAAGCGCTAGGGATGGTACCTTCTTGCCCCGCATGTAAACACACCGAGTAAACGCTGATTGGGGCGAAAATCCCAGTAGCCTCCTCGAGCCAATGACCTTTATGGTCTGTTCCTTTCCTTCAGCAATACGTCGAAGATGGATAAACTTCACGGGAATATTTTGTGCTCTCTCCCCAACCCCCCTCTCACCTCACCCCTCTTCCCTCAGTTCTCTCCCCTCACTCCATGTCCCTTCCCCCCCCCCCCCCACACACACACCTACTAAACGGGATTTGATGTTCTTAAACACACGTATCACCACATTATTATTTGTTGATGAATTTACTTTGAGAAATAGGTTTTTCAACACATTATTTATCAATGATCCACCGACCCCGACGTTCAAATGTTATAAGCTTAAATTTATTGCATAATCTTATTTAGCAATCTTTATATTTGGTCTGGAATACAATTATCTGTATAACAAATATATCATAGATTATAATGTGAATTCTAGAGCCACCAAAATAGCGATGCACTTCAGCTGTGTGTGTGTGTGTGTGTGTGTGTGTATACTCACCTAATTGTGTTTGCGGGGGTTGAGCTCTGGCTCTTTGGTCCCGCCTCTCAACTGTCAATCAACTGGTGCACAGATTCCTGAGCCTACTGGGCTCTATCATATCTACATTTGAAACTGTGTATGGAGTCAGCCTCCACCACATCACTTCCTAATGCATTCCATTTACTAACTACTCTGACACTGAAAAA